AAACAGCACCATGGCACGGCCGGCCCACGCTGCAGCCTGCGGTCAGGTGAGCAGCAGTCATACCACGATGGCAGATTTTTGGGTCCAACCCTCGTAACACCAGCGGGAGGCTGACCAAACAGCAGCAGGAGGCAGGGTGGGACTTCCCCCCCCAGGAGCTTTCAAATCTCTTCCAACGCAATATAACACAACGAGCAGACAAGTACCTGGCACCCTCCTCTGCCATTCTGCAGAGAGGAGGCAGCGCTCAGCCAAACCGCATCCCCTGCTGCGCTCAGCCACTTCCAGGGAGGGGGACATGGGGACAAAAGCCACCCCGATCTGCCAGCCACCCTGCTGCTGTGCCAGAACCTCCTTCACATCCCAGCTCCTCTCCTGCTCCACAAAATGTCTCCGTGCCACCCAGCCCAGCCTCCAGGAGCAGCAGCAGTGGCATTGGAGGGGCTATGAAATGGGGATCTATCTTTATCAGCTCCGGGAAGCACCGTGTGCAGCTCTGGCACTGTTCAAGTAATTAACAATAATGAAAAGTTCACGTTGCCATGGATATGGTGTTCTATTTACAACACGCATCTCTCCCTGTCACCCAGACCCGCGCAGCAACCAAAGGAAATCAGAGCCCCATTCACAGCCCTGGTGCGGGGCTTTATTTATAACCAGCACTGCTGCAGCATCACGGCCTCACCGCTGCCTTTCCTCACCAAGACCCCCGGCTCCCCAGGCAGCAGCTGCCCATAAAGAGAGACCCAGAAAGAGGCTTTTCAGACACCTCTCACTAACTGCTCACATGGGTTTTTTTCAAACCATGCAGTCCCCATGCACTGCTTTTGAGAACTTTGCTGCTAATGGGCCTCATTCCTTACTGCAGGGCAGGGCAATATAAAGACAGAAGCAAAGGAGCAGAGGGTGCCCATGTTTGTTTGCACATGGGTCTTGCTCGCACGGCGCTCCAGGAATGCCAGCCCTGCTCAGTGCACTGAGGGCACACTGCTAAGAATCGCAGTTGGCTTAATTAAGGACTCAGGTGTACATGAAAGATTAAATACGGAACAAGGCCGGGGAGGGATGGAAGGCAGCCAGTTTGGACTAATGTGCCTATCTGGGTACCTGCAGCATTAATTACACCCGAGCTCAGGAGATAGGGAGAGGCTGCAGCTGCTCCATCCCATCACATTCCTGGTCTTCTGCAACGGCCATCACACGAGGCGTGTGATCTTTGGGGCTGTTATCTGCCTGCCACTAACAGCATTGCTGCTTCTGTCTGATTGCAGCTCTGAGCGCTGCAGTCACACAGCGGCCATGCGCTCGGCCTCTTGGTGATGCAGGGCCAGGAGTTCAGGGCTGCACACAGTGGGTCCCCTGGGCTGGCACAGCCCCAGCACAGCACTGGGCTCCTGCGGTGCTGCCAGGCTGCAGCGGAGCAGGTGATGCCGATAGCAAAGTGACAAGAAGTGCAGCTTTGGCACCTGCTCAGGTTCCCATCAGGTGGGGCCCGTGAAACCTAAACCTCCTGGACACAAACATCACTGCTCTGGAGCAGCAGCATTTCAGCGACAGCTAAAGGAAAACTGCAACTGTCCACCTGGCTTCTTTGAAATAAAAAGAGAAGAACTCACTTGGAGATGCCCCATAGAAATTTCCCCTGCTATTCCACAAACAGGTTCAGCAACCTTCCGGGGAAAAACAGCATGGATCTGCCAACATGGAGAAAGCGCACACTGCGACCAGAGCTCACACCACACATCCCCAGCACAGCTCAGCACACCACTGCAGCACTGGGTGCAGCAGTGCAGGAACCCAACAAGCACTGGATGGAAGAGGAAAGGGCACAATAAACATGGATGTGGAGTCAGTCATCAGCGGTGGCACAATGTTCTGCACTTTTACCACTCGGGAGCCATTAGGAAACACCTGCTCTGCCACAGGATTCCCACTGGCCCTGAACACGGATCACCTTTTGCACCACAGAAAGCAATCCGGCATCCCTTGAGCTTTCTATGAATTGCTTCTCATTACTTTCCTTTTTTTTTTTTTCCCTGAGCAGGAGGTGCCTGCAGTGAGGCAGTGACCTGGCACAGCTGTCCCAGACTGAGATGGGATGGGATGGAGCCACAGTGGGAGAGGTGCAAGGGAGCAATGAGCATCTTTAGAGGCTGAGCAGCCAGGCCAGGCCACGTCATGTCAGCCCATCAGCCCTCAGTTGCAGCACACAGCGCTGGGGCGCAAAGCATTGCCTGCCAGCTGGGCCAAAGGCAGGCAGATTGTGGCTGCACGGCCCCGTAACTCAGTGGGCAGACACCTGGACGGAGCTCACCCCACCCTCTGCTGAGGGGACCCCAGTGCCCCTGCACCTCACTTCTTGCCAGCACACAGCCTGCACCACGGGCCCTGCAGTTCCCATTCTCTGCTTCCACATCCAGCAAGAAACCCATCAACTCAACAAACAGCAGAGCTGTTTCCCATGACCCTACAGAGCCCACCAACACCCCCGGAAGGGAGAACTGGCCCTGACCAACAGGCAGGGATGCAGGGTGTGAGTTTGGCCCCGTGCTGACTCAGCCCTGGCACACAGCCGGGCGCAAACACGCACCTGGGCTGCGGAAGCTCTTCCCACTCCACTCACCAGCCCCATGAATCACAGCACCCCGTGCACTCAGATCAATCAGGTGCCCGGTGCCAGGGCGGCACTGCAGCCACCACGGGATGCAGGGACACAGCAGCAGAGATGTCCCCCTGCCAGGACACGGAGGACCCACCCTGTGCAGTGGATACGTGGCGCTCTGCTCCCTGTGTCGCTTGAAAGCGAGCAAAACTACTGCTGTGCCCTGACATCCGCCTGCCTCCCCAGAGAGGCCTCTGGTGACCTATATTTGGCCGCTTAAATCATAAGCAGTGACCTCAATCTCAGGTCTTGTTTACCCCCATTAACAAGCAGTGGCCTGAATGCCTGCTCAGGGTTCCCTCTGCTCCGCGCCGTCACCTCGCATCTAATGAGAGGCAGCCGGCAGCTCCTGGGCCAGAATCACCCACAGGAGAGCTCTCGCTGCCTCCCCACACGTTCCTGCTGGTGTCACTCACAAACTGGGGGGCACAGAGGGGAAAGCAGCCCCCCAGAACCACACCACAGCCTCACAGACCCCGCGGTGCCTCTTGGTGAGCACATTTGCTAGGAGAATGCTGTGCCACGTGCTTTAACCACCCGCGATGGGGAGGCTGTGTGGATAACACGGAGCGCCCAGCATCCCCGGGCTGCTCGCGTCACGCGGGGTCCCTGCCGCCCTTCCAGGGAAGGGTAAACTCCCACGTAACCATGGAAACTGGGGAGGATGGCTGGCAGCAGGGCTGGATTCCTGCTCGCATGGCACTGGGTCTGGTGCGGAAACCTCAGCCGGCACGCGTGGCCACCACTGATCACAGGGCACAGCAGGAAAACACCCCAGTGATTAAGCTAATAGCCCTAATGACCAGCTGATGAACCGAAGGCCGGACGCACCCTTTGGGAACGCGCCCAGCACCGCACAGCGCTCAGCCCAGCATGCCGGGCACGGCCACACTGCGCCCAGCTGTGCTCAGGGCCCCTTCACAGCACAGGACGCGAGTCACATCCCAACAGTTCTCATCTCTCTTCCAAGAGCCCTGTGCTCAGTCCTGGGGGGTGCTTCCTTTGCTGTGCCCTGGGGTCAAAGGTGCCCTCTTTGCCTGCCCCGACCCACGCCGAAAGCACACCGAGCTGCAGCAGGCTGTGCTAAAGCCATCCACCCAGCCACGACACAGCCAGCTCTGCCCAGGAACGCGCCTCACAGTGCTCGGAGGAGCACTACAGGTGGCTGCCACCCCAAAACCATCTCCGAAGGTGACGCCCCGATCCTGAGGACCCGATGTGCCCTCTGAAGGACTGCGGCACAGGGAGAAGCCTCACACCCAGCTGCAGGCCCCTCACTGAGCATCGGCCCCGGGTCCATCCCAGCCCACAGAGCTGCTGCTCAGAGCGAGCAGAGGGAGAACAGAGCACATCTGACGTACAACAGAGGCAAAGCAAAGCCTCCAGCTCACAGAGCTGAAATCCTCACATCTTCATTTTTCGGCCTTTTGAGAGCTTTTTTTATTGTCTATTTTGTTGGTTTTTTTTTTTATTTGTCTATTTTTGTTCCTTGCCCACCTCCGCACTGAATGTGCTGAGCTCCTGGGCTGGAGAGGCAGCGTTTTAAGGGAGAACACTGGTGACACAAAGCAGAGAGCTCTCGGAAAAACAGCCTCTGGAGCAATAAACAGATTTGGTGCTGAGGGCTGTGAGGGACGGCTCCATCTGGGCTGCTGAGTCACAGAACCTACTGAAGTGAGATAAAAGCCAGAGGGCTGGAGGTAAGGGAAGCTTCCTATTAGGGATTTTTGCTATTTTGGTCCAAACACACGACGACGACAGCAGGAAGCAGAACAGGGCCAGGGCGGCGGTGCTTCGGCGGCCGCCGCTCCGCTCCGGCAGCCGGGGGGTTAAAACGCAGGCTGCCGCCGCCTCCTCCTCCGCCTGCCAGGCCCCGCTCGGCTCCCAGCCCCGCCGCCCCCGGCAGCCCACCCCGCCGGGAGGGCGGCGGGCCCGGCAGCCGGCGGCGCTCCCGGAGCGTCCTTGTCCCCGCAGGGCCGCGTCCCCACACAGCCCCACGGGGACGATCCGCGCGGCCCCGCACGACGCCCCGCAGGGGCTCCATCGCGCTCCCGTCCCGTCCCGCAGGGACCGCGCCACGTCCCCGCCGTTCCAGCCCCGCACACGGCGCGCATCCCCACGGGGCTCCCGACGCGTCCCCACGGACGACCCTCGCTCGCTCCCCCCCCGTCCGCACCGCCACGCGGGGCTCGGCCGCGTTCCCAGCGCCGCGCCCCCCCCCGCGCCCCCGGGCGGCGGTTCGGCCCCGAGGCGGCGCTGCGCCTTTAAGCGCGGGCCGGGCGCCAGCTGCCTCCGCCCGGGGGCAGCGCCGGGCGGGCCGGGCCCCGCCGTAGCCGGGCAACCGCACACGGCGGGCGGGCGGAGGGCGGCCCCGGCAGCGCCGCGATCAGGTGGCAGCACCGAGCCCGAGCCCGGCCGCTGCCCGGCGGATAAAAGTGCCGCCCGCCGCGGGACGGCCGCCAGCCGAGCGGAGCCGCCGAGGAGCCGCGGTAAGCCGCGGGGCGGGACGGGACAGCGGCGGGGGGTAGGGGGGGAAGCCGGGCCTCTCCGGGGGCGCCCCGCGATGCGCTCCGGAGCCGGCCCCGCTGCGGGCTCCGGGAACTCCGGGTTCTCCGCGCTGGCGCAGCGCTGCTCGCGGCGCGGCCCGCCCCGCTTCCCCGTAAGGGTGGCGATGCCGGCCCGCATCCCGCACGGCCGCACGCCGCGGTGACCGCAGCCCGGCCTGCCGCCGCGGGGCTCGGCGCGGTCCGTTCGGGCAGCGCGCGGCCGTCCCTGCGGCCACCGCCTGCGCTGCGGGGTGGGCACGGGAGGGCGGGACGGGGCACGAAGCGCACGGCCGGACGGCGGAGACGCGGCGGCTCAGCGCGCTCGGGACGGGCTGCTTCCCCGGGGGAAGCCCGACGGCGGCGCCGGGCAGCGCATCCCGCCCGCCGGGCGCTGAACCCCGGCACCCCTGGCGGGACGGGGCCGCACCGCGCGTCGAATCGTCGCCTGGGCGGCCGCCGGCAACGGCGCGACTCACGGCGGTGGGGCCGTAACCTGTTCGACGGGACGGCAAACGAGCGTCGTGCCGCGCGGCTCTGCCTACTGCCGGGTACCCCGATGTCGTGTTGTGAGGTCGGTTTATTCCTAACGCCGGAGGAACGGTGCAGGGGTTAGCAATGGCAAAACATTGTTTTCCCTTATGATAGGCCACATCGGCTTGGGTAGGGAGCAGATTGCTTCTCCCTGGGCCTCTCCACCCACCTCCAGGCACACTGTTGCCTCCGGTGCCTGGGTTCTGGCCTTTAGCACAGCTCCAGCTCAAAGGCAGCAAAGGTTCAATAGCACCGGCTTGGGGAGTGCACTCCAGCAGCGCTCTGGGCAGTGCAGCCCTGTGAGCAGCAGCAGCACGGCAGATGGGAAGCATTTTGCTCAGCACCAGCAGGGGCTCGATGCTGCTTGTGCTTCCTGCCCCCAGGACGTGCACGTCCCGCTCCTCAGGGAACAAGCGAAATCTCAGGGATTTCATTCCCGCTCCAGGATCTCCTGGCTCAGCTTCCATGTTGGTCTGGTCAACATGGGAAGTGGCACAGTTTAACCAAACAGCTGAACCCAACTACGTCTCAGAACTGGAGAGGCGAGCTGAGGCTGCTTTAGTGTTCAGAAATACATGGGGGGGAAGAGGGAAACCCTCTACATGGGATATTATGGGAGAGAAGAACAAAATGCAGAACTCTATACAGGAGAGGCAGTGCTGGCTTTGAGCCAGAAACATCACATCTGGGACCCAGGTGGAAGTGAGGAGCAAGGAAATCCAGTGGAGTGAGGCAGAGCTGTCAGTGCGCCGCACACACAGCCCTCCTGCTGCCCCAGACCATAGGGCTGCAGGCAGCCCTCCCTCCTGCCAGGCTGGTTTCCCATAGAAAGCAACGTTTGTGCCTCAAATTGGGTATGGGAGCTTCTCCCAATCCGCTCTGTCTCTAGATATATGCAACTGAGTTCCAGCTCCAAACCAACACCTGGCCAGGGCTCTCGTGCTTGGAAACGGATTGGAGGTCTCTGGAGCAGAGCCCCTGAACCTAGGGCCCTTCCTGCTGCTGGGCTCGTCCCACCCGGCTCCTCTCCCCCTTTAAATAAGGCAGCAACAGCCCTCAGGCAGCTTGTGTTAAATTAAACCACCACAGCTGGCAGCTTCCTGCAGGACAGCTCACCAGTCAGGTGCCGGTGTCTCCAGCGGGGTGTTTGGAGACAGCACAGCACTGATGGGACTTCGTGTTCCCCCCGTAAAGATTGCACCCCGCAGGACTGAGCACGGCTGCGTTTCCTTGGAGCCGGGAATCCCTATTCATGAGCAAAATTGGCATTCGCTGTGCCTTGTGCTGAGCAGCCGCCCATACCAATGGGAGCACACGGAGACCAGGGGTGCTGGCTCTGTGCTGTTTGCATGGGAAACATTCCCTGCTGCATGTAAACTTGATTTCCAGCTAATTGATTACAGTTGGCCTCCATTCCTGTTACCCTAAGCAACCTCACCAATGTGCTCAGAGCAACCTCATTCCTTCCAGCTGCTGCGGGCAGGAGGCTGGCAGGGCCAGGCAGCTGCTCGCCAGCCCCGCTCCACTGCTTTTCCTCCAGCTCAGCTTTCCACTGGTACAGCCCTGCACTGAACATCCCCAGGGCCCTGGGCTGCCCACGGCCCCACTCACCCACCCGGAGAGGTTCCCCACCACAGGCACACAGAGCACAATGCTCTGAGATCACTCAGGGAAGGAGGGCTGTACTTAGATGCACACTACTTGCAACAGCCTCTGGAAGAGGTCTGGGTGAGCATCGGCATGGAGGTGCCGTGCAATTTCTAGCAGTCACAGCAGTGAATTCACAGCTGCCTTCAATTGTATGGGTTTTGGTGCAGGCTGAAGCTGAGCACAGAGGTGCTGCCCAGCAATGAGAGGCCAACAGCCTGTGGCAGTGGCAGCAGCCTCTGAGCCCTGGGTGCAAACCACGTCGCCGCGGTCTTCAGCAGCATCACATAGGCATCAGAGCAGCTGTTTTTTGTGCAGCACATGGGAAAGGGAAAGCATCTCTCTTATCAGCTGGGCACATCCCTAGGAGAAGGGAGGCTGCATCGCACACCCCAGGAGGCACAGCCTGCCCACTGCTCTGCTCCACGCAGGTGCCCAGGCAGCCAGGGTCGCACACCCATACAATATGGGAGCTTCTCTGAGCTCTGCCTGCAGCCCAGATGCCGTCAGCTGGTGCCAAAATAAGCAGCATAGCTTTGGAACAGACTCTCCCTCCCCTCTTGCTTTGAGAGACGTGGAATTGAGAACAGCCCCCAGAGCTCAGCCAGCTCACAGCCCTGACGCTGCACACAGCCATAGGATCCAGCTCACGCCTCCTCAAGGCTTCATTCTGTTTTTTAGAGAGCATTTGATGCACCCAGCGTGAGTTTAAGCAAGACACAGGTGGCTGCACTATGGGCCTGAGCAGCAGACACATGGAGTGCTGGAGCATACCAGGAGCTCCAAAATAAAAGGTGCTGCCTTAGAAAAAAAACAGGCAGCTTGCTTCTCATGGATAAAACCAGTTGCCAAGGGAAGCTCATCCCCAGAGCACAGCCCTGCATCACACAAGGGTTCATGAATACCCACATGCTGCAGGCCACGTCGCTCCAGCGCCCAGGAAAGGAGCAGAGCCGTGCCACCTCGCAGGCAGTGTCACAGAGGCTGGGGCACCTGGAGAGGCTCAGGTCATGGGAGCAGCCCAGATTCCCACCGAGTGGAAGCAGCGCCACACCAGGCAGATAAAACCTCACTCTCTCCAACCAGATGTGCTAGACGCAGGGCCACTGAACAGCGATAAGCCCAGGACCTCTCACAGCCAAACCACGCACGTCCCCTGTGTGGCAGGGAGCCATGCCTGAACGCAGCACTGACAGCAGTGTGCGCCGTGAGCATGGGGGCTGTGGTTGTGCTGGGGGCTGTGCAGGCAGCCAGGCCTGCTCACAGCTTCTGGGAGATAGACTGTTATCTCGAGTTCACATCTGACAGCTTCCATCCCGTGCTTGCCTAAGAAGGTAATGCAGGCAGCCAGCAGGAATCAGAGCAGGGCTTGGCCACAGGTGCAAGGTACGGCTGAGGCATCCTCCGTCACACCCACATCACCCCATGTCCCTGCTGTTTCCCAATCCAAAACCCAACCGCTCATTTCTCTGCTCACGAGGACACACCAATGGCAGCTCCAGGAGTACATCACCAGTGGGGCAGGGGCTGCAGTTCCCATTCCACCTCCCAGCTTTGCTGTAGTGGTGCCCGCAGAGGCAGGGCAGCCCTCTGGCCTCGAGCCCATCTTGAGCTCCCTCAGACCTGGCACGAACGAGCTGTGACCCTGAGAACAGCCGTACTTTGTGCTCTCTGCTGAATTATATTTTAAACGCCGTTCTCCAAGACCATTTCCAAAGCAATTTGCTGTTTGGCCAAGCTAGGAAGGGCCCTGAGCAGACTCGTTTCAGCGCCTGCAATATTGACTCTTCTCTTTACTGCGGCGTTTGTCATCTCTTAAAATGAATAACTTTACCTCTCCTGGGAAGGGGGAGAAACAGCCTCAGTGCCGATACCTCATACACCCAGCCCACAGACCTGCTTCAAATCTCAGACGATGCTCTGGGAAAGAAACTGGGGGCTTCTGCTGCTTTGCTTTGTTGGGAGCGAGGCTCTCTCTGCACCTGCTCCTCCCCATGCCCTGAGCTCACTGGGCCCCTTCCGGTGCATTCTCAACACCCCCAGTGCCGCACCGTCCTCGGGCTCTGGTGGGGATGAGCAGAAGGCAGCACCAGAGCAGGGCCCCCCCTCAGCACCAGCCTGCAGGCCCAGGGCTCGCCATGCAGGGGGAGGAGAGCCAGAAGGTGTTTTCACCTCTGCTAGTTACAGTAGCACGGCGCCGACATGTAACGCAATGCTTACTGCAGTCCTGACTCACACCCCTTAGGAACAAGTCAGTGCCTCTGCTCTCAAGCCAAAAGAGTTCTTAAAAAAGAAAATCCTCCAAATCCCCCTATAAAGTCACAGAAAAAGCCACCCAGCACCCCTGGGATGAGAACTTTGAAGTTCAGAGCTGCCAACTCATCACTGGGAGACCAACAAGCAGGGCCCTCCGGCATCCCAGAGACCACAGCACATTTAACCATGACGTCTGCCTGTTTCTGTCTCAGTCTCCTGAGCTCTGAGAGGTGCTTTCAGGCCTTTCTCAGAAGACCCAGAAACCAAGAATGCTTTCCTGGGGGAATTGCAGTTTTCATTAATGGAAACCTGTGTCTCTGGGAACCAAAGCCAGAGGAAGAAACACCAACCACTACATGACTTGGAACAAGAGAGCTGTAAGCACCATCAGCAATAGCCTTTCTGAGGGAGCAGACCGCCCAACGCACAAACTATTACAGAGATATTATCTGACTGCTTCTAAAGCTCCCCAACCAGGAGAGGAGCTGCTGTGCGGCCAGGAGACCCAGCGTGGTGAGCACCACAAAGACACGCACCCAGCGGCCACCTCACCCATCTCCTGCTACACGCACCTGTCTCTCCTTTCTCCGGGGGGATCAGCACAGACAGACCGCACAGCTTAGCGGCAGAAACGCGCACGGCGCCCAACGCAAACTCACCGGAGTCGGTAGAACACGGTCCTGGAGCACAGTGGAGCCATCGGGAGAGAAATGCTGGTGGCAGTGGGCAGAAGCAAGGTGCCTCCTGCAGTGAATGCTGGGAAGGACCAGCTGGTCACTATGAGCCCACCCCCAAGGACAGCCGGTGCACACCTGGGGCCGTTAGGGGTGGGCTAATCCAGGCTGTAATTAATGAGGCCCTTCCCCCACCCCTCGTCAGGCACAGGAGAGAAACAGCTGCTTCCACCTGGGGCAGGAGGGGGACTGCACCAGTCCCCAGTACTGTTACCAGGGCCCCCGCTGAGCTCAGTACATGGCACAGAAGCACCCCAACCATGTGGACACGTGTGGCAGTGCCACCTCTGTGATGTGTGTGCGTGTGCCTGTATCCCGAAGCTTGGTTGCATAGGCTGACCGCTCACATGCAGGCATAGGCTGACCGCTCACATGCAGCCAGGATGGAGTTGTTTACTTCAGCCTTCTGTAACAAAACCTGACCCTGCAGCACCTGGAGCCTCCCCCTGCAGGATGGGTGGCCCTTGGCTCTGTGGGGCTCGCTGCTCACTCCATTCCATTCTCAGTTGTTTGTTGGTTTGGTTTGTTTTTTTGGCATGCAGCAGGAGTTGGTAAGAGCCTTTTCCTCTCTGCCCCAGCATAATGATGGGAACCATTTCATGAAGAGTAACAGCTTTGAGTTACAGAGGGGGCGAAGCAGAGTAAATTAGGCATATTAAGAATAGCAAATAGTTTCATACGAATGAAATCAGAAGCTGGCTGGGACTCGGCAGGAGAATTAGGAAGGTGCAGCTGTGAGGGCAGGTAACGACTCACACCTGCTGCTAGCTTTGGTCATCACCCAGGACTACCACAACCACCACGGGCATGGATCTGCCACACAGCAGAGGCAGCATGCTGTACATCAGCTGGCTGATACTGGGGAAGGTGCTGCTCTCTGCATCCTCCTGCCTCCCCAGCCCTCTGCTCTCATCGCTGTGCACCTCGGTTGTGTTGAGTTTGCTCAGAGCATGGCAGCAGCCTCAGCAGTTGCTTATGTAATGAAATCCTTCCTGAAACATTAACTGTTTCTGGTCCAGAGTTGTTCTGCTTCACACAGAGGCAGTGCTGCCAGGTATCGGCCATTTGGAGCTCTGTTGCTGCTCTTTTCCTGGCTGTGCAGTGTCCACTTAGTACAAAGCTGCTCGTCTATCTGTCCTTGGCCTCTGTTGAGAGTGAGCTGTGCACAGGCAGCTTGCTGCCAGCCCGGAGCTGTGGAGTTTGCAGAGCAAGCCCAGCTCGTTGCATGCAAATGGCCAGATAAGTTGCTGCCTGCAAGCAGGAACCACTTTATGGAAAGCAGCAGAGCCCTTCTCAAAGCACCCCAAGCCCCCGCAGCACACTTGCAGGGCTGGGTCCGCACGGGGCTGCCGCTGGCTGTCATGCTGCCAAAACCAAGCCTAGCTCTCACCGCTGGGAAAATCCAGCTTGTCCCTATTCATGTTGCATACCAAAGGGTTCCCATTTCCTCTCTGCTGCCTTTTGGCACTGACGATTTTTCGGTGCTCCTGTGTGGAGCCAGGAGTTGGACTTGATAATCCTTATGGGACCCTTCCATCTCAGGATGTTGTGAAGATCTCACCTACAGCAACTGCCCTCCCGTTTGCCAAGTCCAAAGCCCAGAGTGACCTGAACCTCAACCCTCCTGCACATTGCCACTCATGCCACCATGAGGACTTGGGGGATGTTTCTGCTCAGATGTTTCTCTAAAGCAAGGAACTCAGCACCCAATGGCCGGGAGGAGACAGATCCCTGCCCTGCTGGAGCTGCCCAAGTCCAGTGCTGAGCTTCCTCATCCCAGGCAGCGGCAGGTCAGCCGGGCAGGTGACATCAAGGAAACAGAGATCAGCCAATTTTGCTGGCCGACTCCCTGCGGTGAAAGCCGAGCTGAGACTGAGCAAACAAAGGCCCTGGATTCAGCATTTATTAGATGAAACAGGCCAGATCCTCCTGCACAGCCCTCTCCGGAGCAGCCCTGCCCAGCCCTGCAGCTGCAGCGTGTTTGCAGGTCACCTCCCCACTAATGCTCCCCAGCCCTCCTGGAGGACAGCGTGGAGTTACAATCCTGTTTGGATTTGTGTGCTGCCAGAGCCGCATCCCGCCCTGCCTGCCGGCCCTGCAGCGGGCGCACTGCCTGCCAGCCTCCAGCACCGCTCTCGTTGCTCTCGGCCCATTTCACCTCACTCTGTTTTGCTCCTTCCACTCTCAGGACATGTGTTTTCTCTGGTCTAGATGGAGAATCAAAAGGGGATGCTGTCTTAGTCCTGTTCATCCCAAAAGCAGGATGCTGTGGCTCTCAGTACCAACTTGCCCTTCTACAGCCTCTGTGTCCATGCAGAGAAGCTGTGATCCTCCTTTCCAGTCCTTGGAAAGCTACCTAATTTGGTGGCTAAACATCCTCAGGGTGAGATGCTGCCTGGTGCCCTCTCTCAGACCCAGCTGGTGCATAACAAACCCATGCTCTCTTCTCTTCCCAGCTCAGTGTTGGATGTGCTCTGAGATACCCCAGTCCCAGCAGCCCTCTGCCTCCAGGTGCCATGCGGTGCTTGGGAGTAGCTTGTTCTTGAGTGGAAGTGCCCAAATCCTTTGTGTTGCCGGTAGTAGATACTTGAATAGGGATTTCCCCTGCTCTGAGAACCCAATTCCTTTGAAATGCCATGATGTTCCCTGCTGTTCCAGCTGGGTGCCTGCAGTGGGAAGCTGAGTGCTCACATCTGCAGCAAAAATCTTCCTGTTGGAGCACGAACTTCTGCAGCACCGGCACTTTGGGCCCACAGTTTCAGGAGCTGCTCAAGTAGCTGCCAGCAGGGAACAAGCCACAGAGGAGACTGCGTTATGCTCATTAAGTTACCATACTGCAAACCCGTGCCAAAAATCTGCTGGCAGCGCTACCAGCCACTGCTGAGACCTGCCAGTGCTTTACAGAGCCTGGGATGCTGACAGACCACGGCGTGGCAGCGTCGGGCCTGGGGCACTGCAGGCACTGCAGGCACAGTCTCAGCCCTTCCAGGGGGCCCATGAGAACTCTGCCCCCACCTCGGCCTCTCCCACACCAGGCTCCAGCTGGAGGCCACATAGGTAGACTTACATGACTTACAAGGTATTAATGCATCGTGGCTCATCCCCTTGCTTGCAGCTTCTAAACTGGCTTTGGAGAAGTCCTAAAGGAGTAAGGGAGATAAAAACAGAACTTTTATTTTCCACTCTGGCCTTTGAAATAGCAGGAGTGCCCAGATCGTGCCCTTCCTGGGGCCCACAGCGGAGGTGGCCGGGGATAAATGGCTCACACAGGCAAACCCACACCTCTGTGGAGCGTGTCTTTCTCCAAAACATTAGTCAGTTATTAAAGCAGCAGGAAAAGAGCCTCCCTTGTCCCTACCTCTGCTTCAGTTTTACTCTCTGTTTGACATAACCAGGTCAGTCTTTCCACACTTCCCCAGCCTCACTGGGAACCGATTACTGATCGAGATGGACGTGACTCACTGCCTTTTTTAATGAGCAATTTTCCTATGTTTATGTGCTTTGGCAGAGACTTTCTTATACCTAAAAAAGGAGAAGGGTGGCATTGGGGAGAAGGCAGGGTACATTGCTGGCATCTATATCCAGTCTGCGTGAGATGTTTCTCACCCTCTCCTTGGATTCCAGCCAGTTGGGAAGTTACTGCTTTTGAACACGAAAAAAGGCGTCACTAATCTTCCACAAGCTAATCTGGATGAAATGCTGCCCAGGCCCACAGGTAGGCTGCCTAAGCCCTTGACAACTAATTGGAGCTAATTAGGTTAGAAGATTTTTGTGTTAATATCTGTTTAGGCTGTGCCTGGGGGCCCCACGGTAATAAGCATCGTACAAACCCAGGGCAGCCTTACCCACAGAGGTTTGCCAGTAGGAGATTGTCCAGGCCACAGCAGGGTGAGTTGGGTTTTCCTTCTCTCTTGCACAGACTCAGGCTCATCGGACAGGTGCCCCACTCACGTGGTGTTTGCTTGTGTCTTGCAGTGACTAAGCGGAGGAAGCACTTGCTATCCTTGCACTACCGGGCCAGACAATCCTTCCCTCGGCTGCAGATCCCTCTGGATCCCTTCCCATAATGGAGGTGTGAGTGCCAAGATCCTCCATGACCTCCAGAAGCCACAACTCCTTGCCGAGAACTCTGATGGCTCCACGAATGCTTTCCGAAGGTGCTCTGGGGGGCATTGCCCAAATCACCCCCTCGCTGTACCTGAGCCGGGGCAGCGTCGCCTCCAACCGGCACCTGCTCCTGTCCCGAGGGATCACCTGCATAATCAACGCAACCATCGAGATCCCCAACTTCAATTGGCCCCAGTTTGAATATGTCAAAGTGCCTTTGGCTGACATGCCCAACGCCCCCATCTCCTTGTACTTCGACAGCGTTGCCGACAAGATCAACAGCGTGGCACGGAAGCACGGGGCCACCTTGGTCCACTGCGCGGCCGGCGTGAGCAGGTCAGCCACCCTGTGCATCGCCTACCTGATGAAGTACCATAAGGTGTCCCTCTTCGAGGCTTACAACTGGGTCAAATCAAGACGCCCTGTTATACGCCCCAACGTGGGCTTCTGGAGGCAACTGATAGACTACGAGAGGAAGCTGTTTGGGAAGACAACGGTTAAAATGGTACAGACACCATATGGCATCATCCCAGACGTTTACGAGAGAGAGAGGAGACCCCTGATGCCTTACTGGGGAATTTAATGTGACTGCAGACGGGAAGCACAGCAGAAGGGACATGCTGTTCCAAGTCGACCAGACTGGAGATGTTCCCTTCTCTTTCTACAGCCAACTTTGGTTCTTTACCATACAGCAGAACCTCAACTAATTTTCACCTCACTAACCCGCAAGGCCAACAGTTCCCTTCGAAGCATTTCTCTCTACAGGGATTCCCCCATCCCATTTTTCTCTGATTTAGCAGAATGAGATCTTCTTATAAGTTTATTCCTTTCATAAAGCCTCCCTCTCTTTTTAGTCAGTTTATTAGTATCCTATGAGGAAAGGCCTACGAGGCGTTCGGCAGAATTAATGAACAAAGTGCGCTTTGTGATGCGGTAGCCTGGATATTTCTTTAATAGCTTGTTTGCTTCCTTGCAGAATCCTGTAGTGGTTTGGGAGCAGCACTGGCACCACAGGGAAGTCCAGCTCTAACAGCATGGCTTCCAGGAGCAGGGAGGAGGTAGTGCAGGGTTGTGTTGCTAGTGCTGGTGTTTTCTTTAACATCTGTAGTGACTCTCAGTATATAGTGTTTGAGATCTTTAGTCGGCTCTTAATCTGTATTAAAAGTCAAAAAGAATGAAGTCAGTCCGTGTCAGGCACAAGTGAAATAAAATTTGACTGATTGGAATCAAGTAAATACCAAGCCCTTCTTCACTCATTCCATGCCAGGGCAATAGTCCTGGAATACACCGACACTTCTGAAAAGTACTGCTGGTGTTCCGTGGGTGGAAAGGAAACACAATTTGTGAACGTGTGGCTCAAAGCAGCAGCAGGAGGTTAACCCTTCCCTTCCCACCACACAGCCAAGGGGATGTTTAGGAAACGCTGTGTGCGTGGCCACCTTCCTAAAGGGCTGAGTTGCATTTCCTAACATTCAGACAAGCAGTGGACTGGAAGTAGGTACACCCACTGGAGTACTTTGCTCTAGATGTCGTGATCTGCCTTAGCCCATTTCTCAAACACTTCATTATGTCCTCAAGGTTATGTTGCATTCTAGAATTGTTCTGCACAAAAAGGCGATCTGTTTCACCTCCGGACGGGGATGGCGGTACGGAAAAGGCTTTGCCTCGCTCCGTTCGTGATGAGAAAGATTCCAACTGGAGACGTGGGAGAAACCTGTCTGTGGCACAGCTGCTGCCTCCTGGGCACCGCTGCCCTCCCCGCAGATGGAGCAAGACCTTCCTGTCCTCTGCTGCATCCCTGCCGGATGAGTACGCAGATTGCTGGATGCTGAGAGAGCTATCTGATTTAAATGAGATTCTATACTTGTAAAAAAAAAATCAATAAAGAGTAAACTAGAACATGTGTTGGCTTCCTGTTCAGAACTGTGCTAATGTATCTGAAGTAGCAGTGGGAACATGGTGTAATCCTGAGCAGCACTTTACACAAGTCTGGAGAAGTAATTCTGTGTTCCAAGCAGTTTCGAGGTGTCCCCCATTCCTGACAGTCATTGCAACATCCAGGCGGTTCAGTTAGTGATGCAAATTCCTCAATATTTTAAGGGCATCCAGAGTCCAAAAAGAGTTTCCTGTGTGCACCTACAGCCCATTCCACCTGCAAACCTTTCTTGGGGTGCAGTAGCCAAAACTGCAGCTGGAAAACCCCCAGCACTGAGCACCAGGTTTTCCAACTCCCAGCACCTGGATCTCAGGGCAGTTCTGTATCAAGCACAACAGAGCAGCCCTGCAGCGCCAGAGGGAATTCTTTTCAGATGAGCAAGAATCAAGTTTCAAGGGAGATTTGCCACACGCTGTGTTCAGTTCGGGTTTCAGCGGTCGTGTCTCTTGGCACTGTTTGCAGTGACAAACAAGCAGGCGTATCACACTGACTGTCCATTTGAAAATGTACTATTTTTCTTTTCCTTTGGAGTTAAATATCACCAGGGAAGTGGTAAGAAAGGAAGTGCAGATTAAAAATAGGACTAAGAATTAGTTGGGAGAAATCCTGAAAGCATGTCACTTAGAGGGGAAAAAATACTTAAAAAAAAAAAAAGCCTTTCAAAACTAAACTTTTTCTAAAGAACTGAGTAGGCCTATTTTAACAGTATTTTCTGCACAAAAACTAGAAGGGAAACCTTCTCCACTTGGAATAGCTAGATGTATATTTTGCACACACACTGCTTCAGTGTTGGGGGAGGAGACAGTACCAATTGTTCAACCAAAGCACAGAGTGACTTGGAAGCAATAAGAAATGCAGTCCCCTCACAAAAGCATATCATGAAACAGAGAACTCATCCAGAATGCCCAGCAGAGATTTGAGAGAAGTGCAGTGGTACCAACAACTTAGAGGCACCTCTCCACAGAAGTTTCTCCTTCCAATAGAAGATATTTTACCTGTGCCTCATTTTCCCCCAAACGGTTTTTGTGCACCTTGAAGTCAACAGAAGCAGAAGAGGTGACTCCAAGTGTCTGGAAGCAGGGCAGCACGACGTGAGGAAGCACCATTCCTCCTGATTGCCATCGTCCAGAAGATGTCCTTGTTTGCAGAACACTGTAGGTGCCACTCAGTGAGACACCTTCCAGTCGTTGGCCACAGGGATTCTGCACAGCATTCAGCACGTGGCCCCAGCTGTGCCCTGCAAGCACCCCTGCAGGGATTTCTGCAGCGACTCTGGCACAGCACAGACTGAAACAGCTCCAACTGCAAATGGTGAAATCACTTCTAGAAGACAAACAATGCTCACCCAAAGGGGACAAGAAGGAATCACAATATAAATAGATTTCTCCTGACCTCTTTTCTTCATAGTATTGAGAACTGGAATTAAATACAGGCCCAGAAATCAAAAAGACATCTTCCAGAAGAAGCAGCTTGTACAATAGCAGCTTTTATTGAAAAGGCCGCCTTTGTTTCAAGTTTAATCAATCTGACACAAAGCTGAGAAGGGAACTGCATTCCACGGGGTGTCAGCTTCCTCCCAACCCTTGGCTTCCCCTCATGGCACCATGTGCTGCTCAAGGAGAAGCTGCTCAAAGCACGCCAGGCGAGGAGAAGCTGCTGCTGGAGATGGAGAACCATCAACACCAAGAGCTGAGCATTCCTATCCCACACAGCACGGCAGGGAAATGGGGCAATAAGGAAACAGGGCAGTAAGGAAACAAACAGGCTAGAGCCACCGGTTTGCTCTCCAGCACTTCATCCACCGAGACAAAGCACACCGAGATAGCGCAGAAGCATCAGGAGTACAATGGGGCAAACCATGCATAAAGTAACCGAGGGAACAATCTCTTCAAACTCCAAATATACACACAAAGGAAGATCACTTTCCCAGCTCCAGCGATTACAGACATTAGAAAAAAACAAAACCACATTTCTCAGTTTTTTTCCTAATCAGTGTCCAGAAAAAGGAGTTGCATTTACACAATTCAGCACAGCCAAAGCAGAAGGCAGCACGTCCATCAGCCCGTACGCAAAGGAAGCAGGGAACGCAGTCTGTTACAATGCACCATAGAAAATACCATCACCTTGGATACAGATTGGCTAGCAGCGCCGCATCCGAGGGAGCTGAATGCAACAGTGAGTCATTGTAACGAGCGGGATGTGCAAGGGAAATGATCCTCCTGTGCAATGCCTGTACCGAGGGTATCTGCACGAACAGCATTTGGTGTTTGTTGTGCTCCCGTGACGTCAAAGCCTTCAGAAAAAACATTTCTGCTGCTCACAAACGCAGCAATGCTGCCGGCTGCTTCCCCTTCTGCAGGCAGCAGCGACAGCAGTGCCGCACCTCTCCATGCTCCTCTGCAACTGTTAACACAGATTCCTTATTGTTATGGCCAGAAGACACACTAGATCCATCTCAGAGAGGAAACTTCCCTGCTTAACGAGTACATTACGAGAGAAACATCACTGAAACGCATTTTTATGACAGCATAGCTCATATGGTATTTGAAATATTGATTGCTTTAAGTTTCACATTGTGGCCTGTTTCCTTCATGGCGTTCACTAATTAAAGACAAACAAACCTATCCAGTTAAGTGCTCAGGAACCGCGATGGAAACCCATGCTAACAATAAACTCCCTTTTCCCAATATAGCACTTCCACAAGCACAGCCTTTGCATCAGCCAGACACTCCAAACCACTTGAGAGGTCCCCTCGCTCGCAGCAAGGAGTGCAGCAGTGCCCAAGTGCTCCAGGCATTCAGCTGCACGCTGTGTGTTGCCGTGCTGCTCTGCACAGACCCCAAACATCAGTGGGAACACTTACCCTGGTGATGCATGCAGCCCCTCATTAGCAGGGAAAACAATCTCAGAAGCTATGGTGCTGTCACTGTTTCATGCCTAATAAATGAAACAGCAAATAGTGACTGCCTTTTGTTTTTTTTAAACATATAATTACTGGGCAGCAGAAGGCAAGCAGTCACTGTCACATGATGAAAAATCCACCATTTGATGAGCTTGAGCTTGCAATTGGAGGCACGAGTTGTTGTTCCTTGAATGAGCTAATCTCAGGCAGCAGGAAGGTTGATTTTAATTTGTCTGAATAAGGGACCAGACATCTAACACTCCTGTTAGCCAAGATTCTTTCATTTGGCATAATTAATAGTTTAGTATAGTTAAGAATTAGTAAATAAATCAATCACAGAACCACAGAATGGCTAGGGTTGAAGGAACCTCAGGGCCCACCTGCTCCAACCCCAGCACCATCAGGCTGCAGATATCACTACTGAAACTCATCAGGCACGACTTCCCCTTGTGAAGCCACACTGCCTACTCCTGTTATTTCCTTCTCCCTCGTGTACCTGGAAATGGTTTCCAGGACGAGCTGCTCCATCACCCTGCAGGGACTGAGGTGAGGCTGAGTGACCTATGAGGTTCCCTGGGTCCTTCTTTTTACAGACAAGAGGACGTGTGCTTGCTTCCAGTCTTTGGGAACTTCTCCCATTTGCCACAATTGAGCAGAGATGACAGAAAGGGGCCCCACAGTCACATAAGTCAGCTCCCTCAGTACTGCATCCCATCGGGGCCCATGGACTTGTGAATGTCCACTTTCCTGAACTGCTCTTTTCCTCTTTATAATTTCAATTTCAGCAAATGATTAGGGGTCAATGTCAGTTATTCATAATGGAGGCAAGGCAAAGCTGGAAAAGCTGTTGACATCCTTGGAGAAAAGGGACTTTCAACTTTGACAAGTCAAAGAATTAAGCAGCAAGATGTACCTGATGGATACACACCACAGTGCATTCTCTGCAAACTGAACAAAACTGTGCAGAGGTAAGGCTGTTAAAATAATGCCATGAAGCTCCCAATGGATTTAAAATTCCCAAAGTAGCTGCTGATGGCACTGTTATCTGGGTGTTGCACTGGAAGAAAGAGTCAGGTATTTTAGATGTCTGCGTAACACTTTGCAGTAGGTCTATGACTTCTTCCTGTTTAGGCAGGCGCCCCTCCTGAAAGCAACAGAACAGCAGACTGGCAACAGACTGCTTCAGCAGACAGCCTGCTTGAGGAGACAGCTTCCAGGGTGAGATCACACCTGTCCCCAGCAGGAGCTGAGGCCCACCTGTGCTGCCAATTCTGGGAGTCAGGAAAACACATTATTACAGCCAGCACTAGGTTGCACACGTTACATGCAGGCATCCCATCAAGTAACACATGTTAAAATACAAAAAGGTAATATACACAGGAGCAGACATGGCAACAGTGGAGTCCAATTTTCAACAGTGATGCAGTCACACAACCACCAAAGCACTGGGCAAAACAAACCCCACCCATAGTTTAGGACAAGTCCAAGAAGGGAGGTCACCTAGGATTTGCAGAGAACAGCACAGACTGCAAGTTCCCAAACCCAGCTGTCTGCACTAAAGAACCTGGATACGAAGGGGAAACTTGTAACAATTTTCCAAGTTCTTATCCTCCAGTACTAACTACTTAGGAGTTTGAATATGGTATAATTTACAATTCAGAACGGTGACAGCATGAATATAGAACACCTCTCTGCCATCTAATTCCTCCCATATCAGTAATTCAGTAAAATACTTTGCCTTGAAAGTAACCACGACTTGAGCACTGTGTGCATGTAATAGTAGAGCAGCAAACATTTAAAGAAAAACATCATGGTCCAGACACCAAAAACATTAAGAAAAGATTTGTTTGACAGTACCTACTTTGAGTACTTAAGTAGTCATTTCTATGCAAATCAATCTAACACTTCAGTTCACCTTGGAAGCTATGTCCTCTCTGAGGTCTGCATTTGGTTAGCAGACTGCTTGTTTGTTTGACAGAGGCCAGCCCACCCTCATCTTGATAAAGATTGAAATGCCACATTTTACGCCACTCGACAATTTTTCCCAGATGTTTCTGAAACCCCAGCCATTTCCAGGAGAATTCTTCATGGTGAACTTCTATATGTGGCAGTGGCTTTCATTCACGATTGTACAAAAGCCAAAATGAAGCATTTCAAACGAAGAATCCTTTCCACTCACTCGATCACACCATTCATTTCACCTGATCCTCCACCTTCGGCACAACCATTTCAGAGCAGGTCTGGCAAAATGAGACCCGGAGGCTTTGGTTCCACACAGTTGATCCAGAAGTTTGCACAGCTCGCATGGTACTGGTGCCCTCCATATGCCAGCTTAAAATTATCCGTTTCTGAATTGAAGGCCTGGAGTAACAAGAATTGAAACAAGCGTGACCGTCTCACCTCCTCCGCGCTCCAGAAACTAGAGTGGAAAATGGACATCACACAGGTGATCACCCCAAAATGGCAAATCATGGTACAGCCTGGACCCTCTTTCTCTGAACTGAATAAACCATTTCCACTTGCGGAAGCACAGCAGCCAAACTAATCCTTTCTCTTAGTCTGCAAAATGCTTGCAGGTGGGCAAAACCTACCACCCTCATACCTGATGCATACCTGCCTGTCACACCACACTTCAGCAGTGCCCCATCTGATGCCTGTAACTCACTGTGCTCCACGCAGCTTCCAGAACAAGGCCAGTTCTGCCAGCCAACAGCCACCTGCCACGCTGCTTCACCAGTCAGACTGCTGTGACCGAGGCTGGTGCTGCCTCTGATATTAACGTTATCCCACCATACTCCAGGCTGAGTTTGGTCCACTTCCTTCTGGTAATTGAATCTGTTTTACGACTGGATGCACGAAGCCACAAACAAGCTTAAAATTTCTCCATGTATGTTGCTAGGTGATACTGCTTAAACGTGACGGGGAACTGAATTTATATTTTTAAGTAAATCTAGACTGTTTGTGATATAACACTGATTTTTTTTCCCCAGTTCAGAAAGAGAACATTTAGCAGCTGTTCCTACTTCAGCAGAATTTCCAGTGCTTCACAACTACCTATTTAAAAAATATTTTAACCATGTTTCCCAGATTCTGGATTTCCTGCACAGACTTCTAAAAATGCCATTGCCTACTGCATATAGACGAAAGTCAGTATTTGTACCAGAAACCCCTGCAGCTCCCCCCTCTTCTGCCACAGACATGCAGGCAGCTATGAACTCAGAAACTCACTGCAGGGACTTTTCTACCACACAACAGAAGGAGCACAAAACCAGAAAGCTGTTCACAAGGTATGAGCATGCAGACAAGACGAAAGGCAGGCTCTGGAGCATGTTAGTTGATCAGATCAAGTATTAATAGTAACAGAAAAAATGACTGGAAGAAAAGGGGGTCATGATTGGTACAATTGAGAATGACAGCTGAAGGCCAGCTAGCAGTTCAGCCTTTCACACTCAACTAGGAATGATTCTATAAAGAATGTTTTTTACACGTTCATACTTTTTTAGGAAGCTCTTCCACAGGTTTCTCTTCTTTCTGAAATAACGTTGAAACCAAAAAGTCAGCAAAACTGCCGATACACATTAATTGGTTGGCATAATTACTCTGTACACATCCTGGGATTCCCTCCCAGCTCTGCTAATTACAAGAGTCCCCTCCTGGTGATCCTTGGAGATGCATTTCATAAAGAAACATTATTATAATACTTTTAATATGTACACACTTCAGTCTCAGCATCCCAGCTCCTTCCCAGCGACGAGCCATTGACCTCATCAGCCCTTTCTCCACATCTCTGTCGCATGCAGAGCCCAGTGAACGCAGGCCATTGACTATGAGAGTCCCATCTATTTATGGGTCAGATTTTGCCTTTGCCACTTCCAGTTACAAATTAAAATTTAAAATTCATAAATATGTCCCAGGCCTAAATGGAAGCCAAAACTATAAATTAAAAAGGAGTTTAGTGACAGAGGCCGTATACTTACTTTACTTCTGGAATCCACATTTAGGAGGCACACTCCACAGGCAAGGTCTTGGGCGTTTTTAATCCCTGGGCGCAGCATACAAGAAGAGAAATCCAGTGAGTTTTCATCTGGCTGAAGAAATGAGACAATAAAGTTTAGGCATTTTCAATGAGTTTCAGACCTCATAATAAGAATAACTGATCTGGTTGCAAGAGAGAGCTGTGGTATCCCAACAGGCAACGCGGAAGAGATGGCACAGTGCATTTCCTCATAAATTGACACGTGATTGAATCAAAGCCGCTCGCAGATATTTGCAGTCCTGCTATGCAATCTCCATCAACATTGATTTATAACACTCCAGCTCTTGAAAAAGGGTGAGACTACAAAGGAGAGAATTCTTCAGTTCCGTGTTCCCACATCAAAAGGAGAAGAAACTTCTGAAGAAAGAGCTCAGGCGGCTCTGCTACGTTTCAACTGCAGCATATTAAGAACTGGACGAGGATAAACAGTGGTATGCAGCAGCTGTTTGTGCAGCTGCGAGGAAACAAGGCAGCGGCCAGCACCGCTTTCACCAGTGTTTGAAGTGCTCTCTGTATCTGTGTTCATTGCCCTGAGTTCTGTACTACCGCCCGCTCAAAAAGGGCAGCTCTTATTCTTTCCGAAGGTTTTTCTGAAAGAATATGGCACAATGTACAACTGGAATATTAAGATTAACCACAGCACCTAAGAATTCAGGTCATCAGCTATTTCACGCCAGACACAAGTTCAGGCTCAAGAGAGACAATGGACAGAGGAGATGAAGCCTGCAAAGAAGAAAGAGAGCAACTTCTCTAGCACATAACCTGAATTTCAGCGACAAGATAAATGGCAACAGAAAAGTCTCTGTATGGATGGTATAAAACGATGTACTGCTTGAATGCAGAGGCACAATTAAAAATAATGACTAGAAATGCAGGAAACTTTGGGGAAAAAAAAAAGGAAGAAAAAAAAGAACACAAAAACATGCGCACTCATCTCCACAGGTCTGGAATGCTGATCACGCTCCCTGCAGAACGGCTAGAGATTAATTGAAGTCCTTTAATCTTTAAGTAGATCAATCAAATTAATAAAGGCACTGTAATATTTGTTTACCAAACACACGAGTGAAGCAAATGAGAAGGTCATCCTGTAATTTGCAATGAAAACCACAAGGCTGGGCATAACATTACCTTGTAACGAAATGCTTTAAAAGATAAAATTAACCTTTCCAAGCAGATGCCTCTGAGCTAGAATACTTCTCAGCACTTAATTGGCACTTCTGTGCCATTTGGGATCCGTGCTAGGGGAATGTATGGCTGCACACAGTTCCACAAGGAGAAGAAAAACAAAAAATGATGATTCTGAGAACTGTAGGAATCAGGAGTCCCAGGAGTCCTTCAGGTAACTTTGCTTGAGAAATCACTGCTCCAGCTCCGAGTGCCCTCAACACGTAGCTGCACTGACACAGAGAACACAGCCAGGCCCTGGACCTGGGGGGTTCCCTGCCATCTTCCAAAGAAGGCACTTTAGAACTAGATTTTGATCTGCTTGTTTAAATCAAATCGGCTGTTCCGATTGTTACCATCAACAACGCCAGGTTTGAAATAGGTGAATCTTCATCTATCAACTTCACCTGCCGAGCGGTAAGATACTGAAAGAATCAATCCCAAATTCTGACAAAGTGTCATCAGAAACACCCATCTGCCTCCACCATTTGTGGTCAGCTATGCAGAAATCTCCCAGGCTCCTACAGACTGTCTCGGAGCAGCCCAGTCTTGTCTGGCAGATCTGTTCAGAGAAGGGAAAGCTATTTTGTCTGCAGCGGGAACCAAAACAAACTGAGGCACTTCCAAATCCAGAGAGAAAAGAAAACAGCTCTGTTATGTGTGTTGCTACGTTGCATGCTCCTGTGTTGTGAGCATTAGAACTAATTGTAGGTATATTATACAGACAAGTCAAGTCCATGCTGTTCTGGCTTCATAAAATGGCTCATTAAAACTGCACTAATTTTCCCTTATCAGAGCATTTCTTCTAGTGAAGACGTAGCTTGTTTTTGGTCTTACCGTTAAAGCAGCAAGTGACATGAAGCTTATGAGGTTGTTCCACACTTTATCTATATCCTTCAGCAGCTGTTGGAGTTTCTCACTACAAACAGCAGTTGCTTTGATTCCCAGTTCAACTCTCTTTGTTACTCTGTACACCTCAACAACCCCTGTTGGAATAAAACACAGTGGAGAAACACAGACATTGACTGCAAGCACAGGTTCCTGAAACCACAACTGAAATACAGAAAAGAACTTTCAGTGTAAGAGATGCAGTAAATTAAAACATACCCAGCAAATATTCCATGCCTTGAGCAGACTGGATAACCTCAGTGCAAACGGATGAGCTGCTTATTCCATTCAAGGTATCATTTGCTTTCTTTATGACCTGGTGGGAGCGAGTTTCACGAAACGGTGCTGTTAATTGCTACAAGCAAGATGGTCACTAACAAATTGTTAAGCAAAACAAGGAGGCGAGTTAAATAATTGCTGCACTCCATCACACAGATCGGGGTGGAAGCACGAACATTTAAAAACTTAACGTGTTCCCTCAAATAATCTCATTACTAAAACAGCAGTTTTAAGTGCACGCATGCATCGCTATCTAGTTGAATTGCATGATTAAAAATATACATGTTTTTAAATGACTCTGGGGCTATGAAGTACCACATTACCTGGAAATTAATGGCCTTTCCCTTTTCATGACAAACACCCTGCACTAAGGAGGAAAAGGCTGCAGAGGAGGTTACACTCTTACCTGCAGGGCGCTCTCCAGGCACCTCTGCCACTCATACGCGTACCTCTCACTTTCCTATATGAAAGAGAAGGGTAGTCTGAATCTCATTTCAACACACAATTCCCTTTCTCCTATCACAACAGACATACAGAAGACGTATATTTAAAGAGATTATTTGCAAGTTATCCATGAAAACTCCTAAAATACCTTTTCCTACCTTTTTTCCTCATTTTTTAATTAGTCTCTTTGTGTCCGAATTCTAAAGTTTGATTTCTGGGGCTCAAAACTAGATTCAAAAGGAAGAAGGTATACAAATGGGTAAAAGTTTGGACTGCACATACCTACTCCCAACAAATCCGTTGCAGGTCTGCTGTTAGAGAAATGAGGATTAGCAGAATTTAACCGAGTCCTTTTACTATTTGCTCTCAATATGAACAAGAGAAATAACTAACTGTTATACAGCCAAAAAAGGCTGTTTCCTAAAGCCAGTGGTCTCAGTGCCAAAACTGGGATTGGATTTTAGTTGCAACCAATTTCCAGTTATAGGCTTAGACTGCAAGGTCAAACGATTCAGACAACAGCATTTTTTTCCATGCCATGAGGCTTTAAAGCCAGAAAAGACAAAACAAGTTTTATTAATCATTTCTTGCTCATCAGAAGGAAACAAAGAAAAGAATCCTTCCTTTACGAACAGCAAAACCAAAACACAAAACCTCACCCAGGTTCCATCTTAGGATCATACTCTAATTTCAAGCAGCTAACGCCCCAAAGGGCTGGAATACAGATAGTGATGAAAGTCACTGCTGATTTACTTGTGCTCCAAATAGCTCCTTACCTCAACCTCCCCAGTCAGGTCTTTGTATTTGTCCCGGATGACAGGCAGAGCAGGCTTCTCACTCAGAGTATTTGAGCGATCCCTAAATGGCTGTTCCAGGGCTGGTAAAGGTGAGGAGCGGCTTATTTCTCTGTCACCCAGGCTTAGGCTCCTCTTATGAGACCCTAAAAAGTTTGGAGATAAGCAAAACTATTCTTCTATTCAAAGGCAGCGACTACCGAAAATGACCGGAGCGGTGCCAAGGGATGTGCTGCTCATCAGGACAACACAGCCCTCCATTCATTCTGTGACTGGTGCAAGCCAGTTCTTACATTCTTACAAATTTTTGGCACATTTTTTACTTCTAGAAAGAAATCAACTCCAAACACCATGGAAATCAGTAGAAGCTTGTTTCCAATCGTCTTTGAAACCGTCCTCATCAGCAAATTTATCATTAGATTGGAACAAATAGCCTCTGGTAAGTGTATGCATCACGAGCTTCTGCCACAGAGCAGGCTTACCTTGAACAGACAGGTCAAAGGTCGCCAGCTCACTCTTGATCATTTCTTCGCTAGATTTCACCTTGCCTTGGGATGTTGCCACTAAGAAGTCAAATTTGCTGATTTTTGGCTTTTCACTTTGGAATTCTCCAAATTCATCTATGGATTCTCTCTGGATTTCAGAGGAGATCCCGCCGGCGAGGAAGTCTGCCTCTTGGTTTGGGTCAGCTGCTGCATCTCGTGCTTCTGACGAAGGTCTCGCAAACTCACCAAAGTCTCCATTGTCATCATCACTTGGACCACTGGATATTGGTCCGGAGTCTTTAAAGTTTGCAAAGGCTGCAAATGAAACATCCTGTAAAGCATCTTCACTAGAAAACGTCGTCACTTTGGAAACAGTTGTCATGGTGATGTTTTCTGAGCTGCCAAACAAGGTCTCCTTCTTCTGAAGAACAGAAGTAGCTGCAGAGGATCCACTTCCTGAAGCCTGGGCAAAGGAGGACTTCTTGCCTTGCTGAATGTCGTCTTTGTCAGACCAGTCATAGCTTGCCAGGCTGCTGACTGCAGACCCACTGTTATAGCTTCCAAACGGGGCACATTTTAATTCGTCTATATCTGAGAAAAACAAACCCCTACCATTAGAAGCTGAAGTTCAAATATTAGTCTCTTGAGACCATCTAGAAGTAAAAGCAACTTACTAAGAGCCTTAACAAACTGCAGAAGCAAACACAGTGAATCGCTGTTTTGATGAGGTTTAGAGTTGCACAAAATCATCTGAAAAATACCTAAGCACTTAATACAAAAAACTCTCCACTTACTAAATGTAATCCTTAACCTCTGAATATTATCTTATATTTTAAGCTGAAAGTCACCATGCAAAGAAACACTGAAAGCAATGTGTGTAGACGGTACGGAGCGCACAGGTCACCAGTTCAGTTTCCTGAGGCTGGCTACAAAACCTACAACCCAAGCATGAACATGAGCAACGCAAGCATCCCCTTAGTTCATCTTAAGAAAAGCAACCACACAGAAAGCAAGAGCAGCTTCCCTACCCTCCCCAGAAAAGTGTTAATACACCTAAGTTTTGCACTCATGCTTTGATACAATGTACAGAAAGGTGCTGCAAGAAGTTACAAGATATAAAGTTGCGTCTGAGCTTCTCACCCGTACGGCAATGCCTGTGCCTCACTGCTGGAGGAGCACATTTCAGAAACAACACAACGTGGCAAATATCTTAACGGAATAGATAGCCCGTGAGAGCTAAGTACAGAGAAAACCCAATTATTTTGCAGAAAGCTCCAAGCACTTATACTCACCTGGCAATTACATGGGCCAACAGGCTTTTCTCCCCGCCATAAGGAGGTATGGCACACTTAACTGCCTACTCTGCAGCCAGCAGAGGAGATTAGGGTCTGCCAGGGTGCACCCACTACTCATCCACCTCATCTTTCACATTCAGACTGAGACTGATCCATCGCGAAGGCACACAGAGCCGGAGAGATGTCATTAAAGCATTTTAAAAAAGCCCTTCTGCACTGCACTTGGCAGTTGTTTTCCTGCATTAATGACTGTCAGCCTGGATCAGAGCCTCAGCTGCTGCTCGCTGCCTACGGCCAAAAAGTCCCAGTGCAGAGCGGGCGCGAGGCAGCGCCGTGCTCCAGGCAGAGCCAAAAGCAGTGCGCCTTGAACTGCGCACAGCAGGCACAGCTGGGGCAGGGCAGGCAGGCAGGGAGCAGGCTGAGCCTCCAGCTGCCCTCTGGTCATTAACAGAGGATTAAGACATTTGAACCACGCATTTCTGCCTTTTGCACTCATTTGACTGAGAGAGGAAAGCATGCCGCGCTTTAGGCTACCTTCCAGGCATGAGCCATATATACAGCTAATTAAAAAGACCAACAAAAACACGATAGAATGGTACAGTTTAATGGCTACGACAGCAAAGGGAACGTCCCTACGCAGCATGTCACCTCTCAGGTTTTCCTAAGGGACAGCCTTCACACAGCAGCTGAGCACGGAGCACCTCCACAACTAACGTTACACCTTGAACACGTACAGCAAGATTTCAGAGCACCATTTGAATACTAGATTTGTAGAGCAAGCAGTGCACAGGAGAATAAATAGAGATGAGAGCATCTGCTCATGGCAGAGCCGAACAGAAGAGGGCTCCTGGCTGGGAAGGGGCTGACCTGGGCTCCCTAATTTGTCCCGAGAAACCAAATCTGATGCCTTCTAATAAAATGCTTTGCTCAGAGAAGTTAAAGGAGAGTTTCACTGCCGTTAACAAGTGCTGGGATAACATCCAAACTGCCGTTAACCCTGAGATCTCAACAGCACCACCCTGCACCAAGCACCCTCCTTTCTGACTCCAAAGCACTGCTATTGTTCCAGTGTTCACTGAGATACAGGAAGGAGAGAGAGATCCTACCACAGCCCAGCGCTGGCGGGGCCATCCAGAACCTGTTTGCCTCTCTGTGTGAATTCATGCAGACGTGGAGCCCACCAGCATGGGCTTAAGAGCTGAGATGAAACATAGCAGATCAACCCTATACGTTTCCATGATTCGGACGCATTCACTGATTACAAAGCATTACTGCAGTGAGTAAACTTTCTTAGAGTTTTGCTCTACAGAAAGATACTGCTCAGAAACAAAAATTCTATGGCTGAAGCAATCCTAAAGCAATGTATTAGAAAGCACAGACATGAGAACGTATGTGCCGCTGCGTATAATTCAAGGCAAATTAGTTGTTATAAAAAATCTTGTTCTATTGAAGGAAAAAACAGCTGTATTTAGTTTGGCCGTGTGCTGCATTGGTCACAAATTTGGTCACGAATTCTGCACAGAAAAGGAAAATCGTGACCTTTGTCATAACAACAGCAAACGAAAGGCTTATCTCAGCTCCCAGCACATCTCCTGGGTCAGAAAGAGCTTCCCCGGCGGGGAGCAGAGCCACTCACCATCACACTAATCAGCACAGAGCAGCTCACGTGTGAAAAGCACTGCGTGGCTGAGCCCAGAGCACCCTGCACAGTGCAGAGCTCCATTATCAGCACAGATTGTTTACTAAGCGCTGTTACTTCTCTTAAAGGCCACAGATGCATTTAATGAATACAAATCTCCAGTTCAAATGCTGCAATAATAACTGCTGATGTAACACAAACTTCATTCTGCTGTTATGGCAATCCAAAAATCTGAAGAGAGGCGTGTGCATCAGTAATATTTTTTTCAAAGCAAGACGTGATTCAGTGGGACAAAACGTGAATTAATTCTGATGAAGCCCTGCATTTAGCAAAGACACCTGCTGCTGAGCTTCCACATTTCCTCCTGAAGGATCTGAACTGATAAGCATCTAATTTTATTGAAAAAATAATAAAAAACAAAGACTGGATCTGTACAAAACTCTAAGGAAATACTTTCTTTTAAGGATACACGATCATTTTTCTCAGCTGAGAAGTGGTTTCTTAGCACTTTTTGGAGACCAGGGTGGACTGTGCCATGGAAGCAGGGCAAATTAAAGTATTAAAGCCACTGTGTACTGAGAAACCTCTAACTCTGCCAATAGGGATGCATCAATAGTTTTTAGTGAACCACACCATAATAAAACAGTATTCCTTAGTAATCCCAGCAGATGCTGAGTTCAGATTTGTTCTAGAAATCCAAATGCTATCACTCCAAATACAGATAAAACCACATGGAATTGGCACAGCCAGCTCTGCTTGGCAGGCCTACAAACACACACCGTGCTGAACACAACAGACCTGATTCCCAAAGCTCTTGGAGCTGCCTGGGGCAGGAAAGCAGCCATGTGCACACTACCAGAGTCACCGACACTGCACGGATGCAGTTAAGACACACTGCTTCCCAGTGTTATCTAATCTACTGAAGTACAGTTAATATGCTGTTTCCTAGTGCTATCTAACCTGCAGAAAAACCTGACATCCTTCAGTGGAGCCAACCACAACAGCGTATTTCAGCTTCCAAGGATCAAGGTATGTCTGGAGGCAAATGACAAACCGCAGGCTTCCGGGTCCACCGTTTGATCACTTAAGGAAAAGCCTGGGCAGCATTAGCTGCATTCTAACAAACAGGGAAAAAAGAGAATTCTCAAGATTTTAACATATCTTTGTAATTGTAACCAACACGACTCAGCCTGTTCCTCAGCTGGTGAAGTCTGGAAAAGCTCCAACAAGGAGACGTCCCAACAAACACCTGCTGAACAGCAGTACGCAGCACTGCCAGCGTGGAGAAGATACTTTAAAACAAAGGAACAAGGAGAGAAAATCCTTCAAGCTTTTGGGAGTGAAAACCTTCACTCAGTTCCTTTTTACCACGATGGACACTGCCCCACAGTGGCATCAGGACCCCACTGCCAGGGGCATGGGGATACATAAGGCTCATACAGATCTTCTGTTTCAGAATTACACTAAAGGAGAGCAACCTCGTCAAGTCTGGACAAAATACAATAAGGCAGAGTCACCATCGTTACTGTCCTTCCTCCAGGTATGATTAGCTGAACAGATACTAATAGCATAAGCACAGCAGAATTCAGCCTCCCAGCTTTATGTTCAAGCCTTCAGTTTAAAAAGCTTTATGGCTAGACATGTGCTGCTTCTCTATAACAGGAGAGGTTTTTAAGTCTAAAGATTGGTGAAATGAAGAAAAATCTGGTTCTGGTGCATTTTGCTCTTGTGGCAAGGAACGTCGAAAACCCAGTCTGCTCTGGCACAGTGTTTGAACTTTATGCCACAGCTCAATTATTTTTAGCTTTTTACCTTGTCTGCTAATTTGACAATCATCCAAAGCGGTCGGTGGCCCAGGATTTGGAAGAATTTGAAGTGGCACAGAATTCTGCAACACAGATTTACAGCTGTCATTTGTGTTCAAAAGCACTTCAGTATTCGGCAAGCCAGGATTTTCAAAGCAGAAAAATGAAGCAGGCCCCATAGTGCAGGGCACCAATTAACTCACTCCCGATCAGCTAAATAAATATCAGAATCCTGTTTAGAGATCTCTCACCAGCAAAGGCCTCCCCAGCAACACGTTTCCAATTGGCCCCAGCAAAAAGTGGTGTTGTGGCCTTGGCTGGCAGCAGGGAAGCGCAGACAGGGGAGGACAGGACAGAGGCCCTTCTGTGCTCGGTCCCAGTGAGCACGGAGCCCCCAGGGCACGGCACAGAAGCAGCCCTGCTGTGCACACCGCTCCCTGTGCGGGGCAGCAGCTCACCCACACACACGCTGGCTCGAGGGGATACCATAACTTTAAACTTTGTAATTTGGGGTTTTTTTGTTTCCTCTCCAGGAAAAAGAGGTAACGCTGCTGGACTGCAAACAAATCACACGCCCCCACATTTTCAAAATATGCCAAGATAATATTTATTAACACAGCAGGACTTACAGATCACAAAAGATAGTGATACACAGGAGCTCAGAAGGGTGTTATCAGAATAAAGCATGCAGGTCAATACTTGCAGAAGAGAGATATCAAAGCAGATCTGAGAAGGCACATTCACACAGGAAATGTTTAGTTGAAATTAGACATTAGAAAAGCAGCAAAAAACCTGAAGTTGATTAAAATATACAGAGATCTCCAATAATGCCAAAGAAAAAGGTATTGTACAGATTTGTAAGTGCAGCAAAGTGGATAACCCTTTGAGAATACCCCGAGCAGGTACGCTCCGACTGCAGCGTTCGGCAGGATGCAGAACAAATTAGGTTTACAGAAATGACGAGGCGTTAATTAAAAAATGCTCGAGTCCCGGAGCGAAACATAAATTTGGTTGAAAAGAAGCAGCCCGGTTCAATTAACAGCATGCAGGCAGTGCTCAAAGGGTTATACGAAGTATATGCAAGAGAAATCAGGCAACATTAGTATAATCCACCTTCCACACAAAGAATTATAACCAAGTTTAAAGAGACAGTATCCCCTTCGGAGAGCAGAACTGACAGCCTGGCTTCCCGCACAGCTCCAGCGCAGCCCTGGGAGCGGCCAGGCAACGTCCTGCAATTCCCAGAGCCAGCAACCCACCTGCCCGGCCCACAGCCTCACACCAGCAACACTCAGCAGAGCTCCATACTGGCACATCGGGGACACCCAGTCGTCCTCCAGCAGCCCCCACCTGCGGCTCCGTGTCGCTCGGGGTGCCGCGCATTGCTTGCAAACAGCGCGGCTCCCAGCGGGCAGCCGCTTCTCAGCAGCGAGCACTGCAAGGGATACTGTCCCTTTTGACATCGGATTTACAGGTCAAAAGAAGTGGAGAGAAAAAAAAAAAACCTGCTTTTTAAATTATGCAAACTGAAAAAAAAGACTTCAACATTAGCAGTTCGTAGCTTGAGATGCATCCAACATACACAAAGGAACAGTGAGCACAGGAGTACTGGTAACAGCACAGAGCACGCTCCGCTGCGAGAGCCAAACAGAATTAAATAACGGAGCAAAACTCTCCTCGTGGAAAAAACACCTAGCTTGGCACCATAAGAGAATACAGACCTGTTTGAGTTTAATAAAAATAGCTTCTAATTAATACCTCAAAGTCCAAAAGTTCAGCAAGGAGCACATGATCGCCTCACCCCCTTAAACAAACCGAGAAAATCCCTCCTGCCACAAAGGGAAAATCATTCATCACTGATTTCTGTGGCAAAAGCTCACATACTGTAGAAGAGCTACATAAGTCAAGCTACCACCAAAAGAGGCTAGAAAAATATTACGAAAAAGTGCTTTCAAAACCAAAGTAAACATTCAAGAATACACGGTAGGTGCTACGTTTGACAGCTCGCTCAACTTGGAATTTCACCAAGCAGCCATATGAAAACTAAACGTCTTTGCTAATAAAGTTATTCCTGATATTTTGTACCCTGTCATAGAGTATCTTCCATGTCAAAGTTGCCAACTTAGTTTTCTCTCCCCTACTTAAAAATAGCATATAATGCAAAATTACAGTACTGTATATTTTTTCTACCCATATCTGCAAAAATGGAAGAAATATTTCATCTGAGAATTACCAATTCTTGCAGTAACAGCTTTTACGTTTGCAGTTTGTATGCTCCCTCCTGCCCAGAAACGTCTCTGGCTGCGTAATGCTTTTCCCTAGAGCACAGTAATGGTTCCCATATTATTGAAGGCCACAGAACATTCCACTACACCTTATCTTCCTGTGTGCACATGAAAAGAAAAAGCAGGACACTTGGGAAATTTCATGATATGCAATCAGGTTGGAGATGGCTAATTCGTTCTCTCAGGAGTACTTTCAAAAAGGGAAATTAAAGAAGGTAAAAGCTTGTTAAGGATAACATAGAAGTCCTGTGGTTTTACATTGAGGCCCAGAAGCCATCAATCATGACATCAGCACTTACGGATCCTCTGCACTATCATTCCAATGAGGGTTTTAATTCTGTAGTGTACACGATTCCTGTGGTCCTGCAAAATACTGGCTGTGCTGATGAGCCCCATGAGAACGGGGATACAGCAGAGTTTGATTAGACAGCTTTTGATTAACAGCGCTTCTGAGTGTCTGCCTTTCCTTTCAGCAGCACAGAGAGAGTAAAGACCCCAAGCCGAACGCTTTGTTGAAACCAAGAGATTAAAGTGAGACTCTCTGCTATTCATCTTGCTAATATAAATGGAATGCTGTTGTTTGCATTAGAAAATTTTCCACTCAAATTCCTTAAGTGACAGTCGCTAACGGGGATCAGTAAAATGATGTTGTCAAATCTCAAAAATAAATGGGAATTGAGTTCAAACTGCTCCATCTATTTATAGTCATCTAAGACAAGAAATAAATGCTGCCCATTTAGGGGGCTGTTGGCTAGCAGGTGCACAGATTTAGAAGCCTTTCGCTACTGAAAGACTAGTGCATAATACTGTAACTTAGCACACAGAAGAATACTGATATCTCCATCACCTATGTTACCAGAGCAATCTAACCAATTCCTCACCTGCTGCTGGCGGATGCTGGCCACTAACTGTTGGCAAATCCAAAGAGCTATCAGACATGACATGCTTAAGATCTCCTTCCACATCAGTCAGTTTCATGTCAAACTGAACAGACAACGCATCTTCAGAATCCTCCTTGCCAACGCTGCTGCCACCAATAGAAGGGAGATCCAGAGACTTCACCGAAGCAGAGTCTTCTTTGGCCTGCTTGAAAGCTGCGACTTTGTCCACCAGAGACTTCTCTGCGCTGCTGCACGTGGAAGAAAACTTGTTTGAGTGAAAATCGGCAAAATCATCATCGCTCTTCACTGAGGAGAGCGTGCTGTCCTTTGTCTCCTCAAAGCCTGCTCCAGAGCCTTCCAGAGAGAGCTGCTTGAAGATGTCGTATTTGGTGGGCGTAGCGGCGGTGGCCGAGTTCTGCCCACTCCTCCCTGTGCTGGCAGATGAGCCGGGCTGAGGAACAGGGCTGGTCTCTGCCTTAAGTGCATTGTATTTGTCATCTGGTTTTTGTTCAGAAAACCCACTGCTATTGTTGAAAGCCATGAAATCTGCAAAGTCGTCTTGTCCGCTGGCCGATGCGCTATTAGAAAACTCCCCAAAAAGGTTGAACTCTCCAAACTCATCAGCTAAGCTGGAGCTTTTGCTAGGTGCTGGCTGGGCAGTGGTGGATGGTGGTGGGGGAAAGGAGGATGGTTTTGAAGCATTAAATGCAGGTGGAAAGGACAGCTGCTTGTTTTCTCCAGTAGAGGAAAAGAGGTCCAAGTCTGCTAGGTTAAAAGAGGCCTTAGCTTGCGTTTGCTGTTTCGACTGGGCAGGTAAGGAAGGGAAGGAAGTGGGGAAAGTTTTGTCCTTTGTAGGTGGCTCTAATGGCGAGATGCTGTCAGCGGTTTTAAAATCTGTGAAGCCATCATCGGTTCCTGCAGCCTTGAATTCTGCAAGGTTATCTCCTGACAGGGAAGCAATGAAAAAGTACTAAGATACTGCAGTGACAGTGACTACATCATACTCACACCATGCAAGCAAGCAACTGATTTCATGCCATGTCAGGAAACTGTTTAAACTAAGTCCTCAGGATGCACAACGAACTGCAAACAACTTCCGTGAGCTACAGCATTTGGAGGACAGCAATTCCAACAGTCGTTCCAGAAAAAAACCAAACACCCTTACACCTGACAAACAGCCTCAGTAAATGCAAGAAGTCAGGCACCTTCCTGCTTCTGCTATGCCTGGTTAGTTTTCCTAGGAAGCCTGGAGATGGACTTCCATGTGAAAGTGATTAATCATGGAATGATTAATTGTAAAACATGGAAACCCTCAGCTAAACCTATTATGGAATGTGAGATAGTGTAATACTAATGTAAAAGTACTTAAATATTAGGTAGCAACGTTTTCATGGAATTTATTTTGGTGTGCTATGCATTTTTTTTCCTATTTATACACTATTTTTAAAAATTTGCACTATTTATTTTAAACTTGAAAATCAACAAATGCTGTTTAACCCATTCACCAGCATGTATTTACTTAGATCACTTGTAATAAAATGTACTCATACTCCGAAATTACAAGTGTCCAATAAACAGATTTTGTTCTATTTTAGAAACACACCATTCCCTTTTAATTCTTTAGTCACCACACAGTGCCATGCTTTACATTACTTTAACCAACATTTGAAAGACTCCTCCACAGAAGTGGAGTAGGGGACCATGACTGTACCTGACATCCTGCTGTGCTCCCTTCCCTCCAAACCAATTCACTTGGCCCAAAGACAGTGCAAGTATTGGTGAAATTGCTATTTGCTTACTAAAACCAGAACATCACAGCAAATTACACTTACTGATGAATTGCAAACTTTTCCATTAGAAAGGTAAGCTGGTGAAAGGGTTAAGAATGGTCAGACCTGGATAGCAGGCACATACAGTCATTTCCCATATCTTAGGACATATGCAGAAAGACATACTTCATTGCATTGCACGCATTTAATCCTAAAAGCGAGCTCTGAACATGGAAATTTCACAAAAGATGGCAAGAGTTTCAAAAAAGTGTCTGAAAAAGAGAATTTCCCCTTCAAAAAACATGGAGAAGGAATGAACCAGGGAAAGCAGTCTTATCCCAGAACCTACAATTGTTTGCTAACAAGAAACCAAAATACTGGCCAAAGTATAACTCTGTGGAAGCCAGATTAAATTTGTAATACATTTATCTTCTGATATGTCTATTGATCATATGAGAAAGTAAAATTTATGAGTAACTCACACTGCATAAATGATACACACAGATCTGGAAAAAGCTTAGGGAAGGACTGCTTGTATAATCACACAGCTACTACATCTCACATGCCATCTAGCTTTCACTTTCCCCCAGTCAACAAAAATCAATTAAAACATATTTCAAAATGAGTGACCACATTTGTTCTTAGGGCAAAGGCCACAAAAGGTTTAAGTTCTGCCCTGATGATTTTGTACAGAAGCATCTTATTCTTCTTCCTTCTAGGAATCCTGACTTGAAACAGACAAATTCTAACCACGCTGTTATTTTGACATGAACCTCAGAAGCATCCAGAAGAGATCCTGTCTTCTAGAAACACAGTCTGTGGATTGCCCAAGAGTCACTGCACTATTCTTTCCAGGATGTTTCCTGATAAATTGTTTGGAGGAGCAGAGGGACCATTATTCTGCAAACCTAGCAATGGGAATTCTACAGCTCATGGAGAACCACACACACACACACACACACACACACACAAACCCTTACAAAAACATCAAAACCACCCCCAGAGCCCCATCCTGCTTACCTCCATACTTGCTCTCTGATGGCTGCTCCAATTCACGGAAAGCACTGTACTTGTCTCCAGAATCTTGCAAATATGAGAGAAAAAAATACATTTACTTAAACGTTATGAATCCATAGTGTAAATTTTACATTGGCATGATTACTCTGATTTTTTACGTTAACTTTTAATCAATGCTGAAACAAGACATACAAAATGCTGTAATGAATTGCCCAGAGTAGTTGCATACTTTCCCTTTTACCTCCAAAAGTCACTGTACTTTCTGGCTTCTCAGCTGCAATTCCTTTAAACACAGCATACTTATCAGTTGATGAGAGTGTCTTGTTACCTGGGAGTGGCATGAGTAAAGAAGGAACACTAAAAGCAAAAGAGATAAAAGCAAAGGTTCTTGATTTATCCACAACAAATCCACACTTCCAGGTTTACTTAAAGGACCCTCTTATTTTGACTACAGCTTGGATCACTAGACTAAAGCTTCTACCCTAAGAATTTTGAATTTCTGTCAGTGCACACCTGTGAGTTTAGATAGCCATCTATTCAGCAGCATCAGGGTTATTCCACAGTTACTTCATGTACTTCTTTACCTTTTGCACATAAACACACACCACTTTATACAGTAAAACTGCCATCATTACCTAACATCACAGTAGCAATTGCTGAAAGATTTAGCAGATGCTTGCTTGCCCTCCACACAAGCCTCCTTACCATTTGCAGCATTACAGAACATCCTTTACATAGGAATGATGTACTTCACCTCCAGTACATGTCACTCAGTACTGTGCACATTGAAAACATGAATGAATTGCCATGGCATTCTTTGGCCTGAAGCAAGAATCCTTCTACAGCCATTTACATCTCCTTACCAGCAGCCCACAAGCACACACAAAGCTAGCCCTTGCACAGCACAACAAGCACACACAGCAAGTCGATGATGCTTGCAGAGAGGCAACGCAGTGTCAAAAAATACAGCTTCTTTTAAAATAATTAAAGTTCACATGACTGCAAAGCAGGCTATTAGATATGCAATCTTGGCAAATGTAATCATTACTCATCTGTGCTCCACAGATGGCTTTTTTTTTTTAATTTTAAATAAAGCTCCATAAGCATTGAGATTATAGGTTATTGTAACCTTGTGTTTGTTTCAAAATCGAATGCTTTCACAACTTTACAACTCAATAAAAAGAATTGCTGCAATGAAGAAACACCTTTTATTTTTTTCCTTATGATCCCCTACTTTCCACTATGGAATTTAAAAACAATGTTTCTGTTGAAACTTTCACTACCCTAATAGCTGTTACAGCAAAATGAAATCTGACATATACTTAAATTACAGCCCCTTCAAATACACGTGGCATTATTGACTGACATCAGCAAAATTAAATCCCTTCCATGATGCCATTAGGAACAGTGTCACTGAGCAACCTGTTTTAGTATCCCCAGCTGACAGCACTGTTAAGGAAGCATCCAGTAATCATTGCTTACCTGCAAAGCTAGACAATAGTTCTGCCTGCAACTAAGGACAGACAGCTCAATAAGCAGAAAATAAGTATGTCTACAATTAGATACCTATGTAAAATCTTGCCATGTGCAGTAGGATTAAACAACACCTTGAAATTCTATTGTCATGGGACTTTGAAAGATTGATTTTAAACTCTCAAAGGCAGTAAGTACACATTTTATTGTGCCCAGTTTGTCTGATCCAGAATTACATTTTGGCTGCCTCCCAAACAAACAGCCAGGACTGTTAAAGACTGAATGAGATCCAGATTTATAGTCAGCAGTCAAAAGTTTATGTCTTGGCCACAGAACCACAGAAATAAAACCCTGTCCACTGGAGTTCTCATTCATTTAAAAGTACAGTGTCATGCTCTTGACATGAACACTAGGTTCCTTCTTCAGGGTCTGAAGAAAGACCTTGGTGTCAGCAAATGGTTTCTATCAACTCCCACCAAACACTGGGTCAGACTATTAATGGAAGCATACAACACCAAAGGCAGAACTCCTCCGCCCTTGTGATTCTTTCTGAATAGCTTCATGTTAGATTTTTGCCTGAATGCACAGTATGAAGTAACTTTCAATTGCCTGTGCAATAATATAAACACTTGAACACTTATCCACATGCCCTGTATATGCAATTTACCTCAGCGTGGTGACTGGAATGGTAAAAACAGGGCAACCACCTGTGGCACATCAAATGTCATTTTGGATTTAGAAAGCCTAATTGTAGTTGTAACGATCTTGAAAAGAAATCCTCAGAGGAGAAGTCAGGCGACAGAAGAAAATTACAGGCTTGAAAGCTACCCACAGCAGAGGAAAACATTTAATTTCTCAAAAGAATTCTAAAATACTGAAGGAGTGGAAATGGAAAGATCTGCTACCTGCTCCGCTGCTGTGAGCTGGCTGCTTTGGAAGAGCCAGCTCCATCCCCTTGGAAATCAGTGAAAGAGTCGTCTAAGGAGCCAGACTTTGAAGCATCCTGAAACTCCTGGAAGTCATCATCTTCTGGTTTTCCTACCTACATTGCAAATACGAAAATTGATACACCACTGCCTTTCCAAACTGTCACACAGCATAAGAGCAGTTCAGAGTAACATGATCAACTTCAAAAATAAAATCAAAATCCACAACCCTCTCAACACGAGTGAGCAAACTCAGTCTGGTCAGCGTCTCCACTTCATCCACACCCTGGAGTTCATCTAAAGCCACCAGGCAGCTCGGAAACAGGCCGGCTGTCCCTGCAGGCCCACGGCAGCCGCGCAGAGCTCTCACCTGGCCGGGCGGGTAGGAGGGTGCAAAGGCTCCCGCTGGTGGCGCTGCAGCTCCGCCCGCTGGCGCCGCTGCCGAGATGCCCAGGCCCATCACCGGCGGCCCGATGCTCAGCGGCAAGGAGGCGGGCGGCCCCGCGGGCAGCAGGGGCTGCTGGCTCACTGCGGCAGGCAGCGGCATCGGAAACCCGGATAAAGTAGGGACGGGGGCAGCTGGAAACTGGTTTAACATGTCGGGACTCACTGCAGGGATTCCCCTCTGCAAAGGCAGAAAAAGAAAAGACAACCGTATGGGACACGTGAGCAAAAAGGCATACTGCACTCACTCTCATTTCGAGCTTCTGTTACTGAAACTAAGAAAGAGCAAGGTTCCTTTCCAGATTCAACTTAATCTTCTAAAACAAACCAAAAAAAGCCATCAAGATCCTATACTAAAAGAGTGAGTCCTATCCAGCACCCTGGCTGCTGGGTTTATGCCAAGGGTAATGACAAGTTACTGGCTGAGCAGAGGCATTTGACAGCATTCTTGTCCAGCTCTCAGTACATCAATCCAGTGCGCGCTGGCAAGAAAAGCCATGCTGAAACAGGTGGGCACCATACACACCAGTCCCACAAGATCAGCTTGGATCTTTATCTCAGATTTCATACAGGGCTGGTACTTGGAAATAAACTGGTAAGAGATTATGCTGTGCTACCAGCAACAGAAGCCTCAAGTTCACACTCCGCTGGTTCAGGAGGAAAGTAACAAGTTTACTTGTTACATACTTATTATTCATAGACCGAAGGGATACAGAATCCCTTGAGGTTTGAGGAGATCAACTGTGTAACAACAAAGAAAAACATTCAGAACTTTCCATCAGAAATACACACACCTACTGCAGTTTGGTAGGTATATTTAAGAATCATCTTCAGCTGACGTTAAAGGAGAAACGAGGATGTAATTACTGGGATGTAATTACAGTCCTCTCGAAGCTACGAGGGAAGCTTCTCCTCTGGATTTCAGAAAAGCAATATTTTTATTACAGGTGTGGTACACAACCCGCCTGCAGCAACACGCAGTCATGGTGGATTAGCCAAGGGCACTATCTTTGCACTCTAATCACCAGAGCCATACCTGAGTTACTGCTATCATCGCCAGGACAGCATAGAGCTCTTCTTTTGTAAGCTTCCCAGGAGTGGTTCTATTGGCTAGAGCCCATATCTGTCCAAGAGTCTCTCTGGGCAGTCCAGACGACATCAGTATGGGATACAGCTTAGCAGTATCTATCCCAGCAGGAGTCAAAGTTGTCTCTAAAATTTTCTTATACAATTCTGTTACAAAGGAGTCACTATTAGTCAGGCAGTTTGCTTTTATCAAGCAAATTTAAGATTGCTTTTCTACATCAAATTCCTAAATCAAATTAGTAACATGCAAGAGTGTAAGGTAAGGCAACAGCATTCAGGCACTGCACACTGTCATTCCTTTTCACCTAAACATGTTAGTGGAAGCTCTTTGTGCACAAGTTTAAACAATCAGGAATAATATTTTATACAAAATAAAGTTAGTGCTTTATTTCAAAACATGTTTCTGTAACAGAATTGTGGGATAATCCACATCAAAAGAGTCCTAACAGCTTCACGTATTCAAACTTCAGTGTAATCAATACTGAATGCAGCACTTCATTGTTTCCAATGTTACTTGCATGTATAAGGTAAATAGTCTCAGGAAGTGAGCTGCTCAATTACAAGAGATGCCAAAAGAAGTCCACCCATGAAAGCAATTGCAGCAGCAGCAGCAGCTTCTACTACTGTGACCTGCTTTCACAACAATTCTAAACATTTAACACGCTTGAAGAAAATCCGTTCTTCAAATACGTATTTGTAAAATTTACCTGCATCTCAGCAAAAAAATGAATTCATTTGATGGCTGAAGAAAAATGCTTCAATCACAAAGGCAATGGAAGCACACATGTTCACACTTCACATTGCCCACTTGAATGTCCACTCTCCCTGCTTACCTGGAACCAAGCTATCGTTGTAAATCCAAGGAGGCATCATTTGCTGAATTGGATCCTGCGAAGGGAACACTCCTACACCTAAAGGTGTTCCATTTAGTAAGAAACAGAAAGACACAGTTGCATTAAGACAAACAGATTCAGAGCATAGAGGTCTTTGAGACTAGGTCTTAGCTTGTCAGCATCATTTAGCATTTCAAGCAAAGTTTTCAGAGGAAAAGCAGCTACTGCATAATATATTTCAACATAATGGCTTGGGGTAGCAGCAAGAGTACTGCTATGTACACAAAGAAACAAGGAGCTCCTCATCTGCCAAATTTCTAGTTGCACAGAACTCGTCTCATAACTTCTTACAGTTGCACAACAGCAATTCTGTGCAATATAAGCTGAGGCTTCCCATCACTATGGGGGCTACTGGTGGAAAAACAAATTCATACTTATCCAAAGGGAAGAGTAAGAACCACTCACAACCAGAAAATCCTTAGCAGGGAAACACACAAACAGCCCATCAACCTGGATCTCAGCAAGTTCTTTTCCCATGCTCACAAAAACGTATCCTTTGCCTCACTGTTCAAAAGAAATCACAGCTGTCTTCACTACTACAGATTCCCATGTGATCTGCCACAACTGTGTCTCTGTCAGTCGGTTACTCTCTTCTCCACTACATTAACTCTCACTGACCAAGCACGCAGTAGTCATCTTCAACAAAATCTGAACTAGAAATAAAGCTGGTGCAGCTTTTGAAATCGCCTCTAAAATACAAATAGTTTTAGACATAACGCCGTGAGAGGCAAGTGTCTGGGAAAGAAACATTTTAGAGAGCGCATCTGTTTCTCCAGGAAAGAGGGCAGAATATTGCAGAACAGAAAACCTGATTAAACAAAGGTGTTAAACGTGATTACAGCAGTAAACTCACGTGGGGAAAGTCCAGAGCAAAATCACAGCTGTTACTTTTAGCAAGGAGCAGGAGGCCCTGGCATATTATTCAAGCAGGCATTCAGAGCAAAATTATGCAGAATTGGTCTTACAATTAGTGTACAGAGTGTTAGCATTCAAGCAGCATCTTATTAAATTCCATTAAATGTTTCATTTGCTCACCACACTCTTCAATTGCTATGTTTTGTTCTGAAGCCTTGTGCACCTCTGCAGCAGTGGTACCACTTTCATGTCCACCTACAAGAGCCCAGTCATTGACGGCTAGACTGGGACGAGCTTGGCCTGCAGCCGAGGCTTTGTGCCCAACTTCAGATGCTTTAAGTTTGGTTTGCTCTTGCTCAGATTCATTTAAGCCATTATCTAAGACTTTCTCCTCCAAGGAAGAGCCTGAATGAACAGCAGGAGGAAGTATTTATATTTTGTTATTAAGCACCCAGATTGCAATTCCACGCCTTCAAAGAATTATTACTGATACCAACAGACAATCAGACGAGGACCTGTCCCATCTCAGAGCAGCAGCACTGCCCTGCTCAAATGCTTTCATGGCCCAATTCTGCTTTTCACTTGCTACACAAACACAACAAATTCAACTAATGGAGAGAAACACACAGGGAATACATTAAACCATTCCCTGTGTTAGGAATACCATTGCATAATCACCTGGATCGTGCAAAAGAATGACTTAAGGCTCAGGTCAGACACCCACTTATAAATGCTAAGTTCTTCATGTCAATCTTACCTACACCTGCTTAGCCTCCAAGAGAGGAAGCACACAAGCATTCCACATCAGCACAATAATTATTTCTTATACCATCTTTTCAGCTATTCTATTACACAGCCTTCATACAGTGCCAGCACACAAGACTTAATACACTTGAGATGTGCCAGATGCATATTTAGCATCCTTCAATCCACACAACTTGCTTTTACAGCGCAGTTCTAAGAAAAGCAGGAAGGGGACATCATTCCCCAAGGATCAGCAGGCTTCTAATTCACTGCCTATATCTTTCAGCCAGACTGAAGGAAAAAAACCAACAACAAAACAGGTAAAGACTCTCTGTAGCTTTACAACAAAAAGTGATATTGGGAAAAACAAAATAAAATAAAACTTCAGTTACCTGTTTTATGGATACTGGGTGAAGATGCAGAGGTAGGAAAAAAGGGAACCTGCCCAGCTGTACCATGCAGGATGGATAACACTGGAGTCTGGGTTGGAGGGAGAGGTTGGACCACAGCCTTTTCTGAAAGCAGTTGTCCAGCCTCAGCAGAAAGGAAAGGCTGGAAAGGCTGAGAGGTGGGCTGAGGCACCGCTCTGGGGCTTTCAGTAGGCCCTTGTATAAAGTCACTAAATTCTTCATCATCAAGAAAAGCAGAGTGGGAAACAGATACAGCAGAATGGGATGATGATGTGGGATGATCTGTAAAATGGAATGAACACAATGCAAAGTGATCAGGAGGAAAGTTTTTAGGAGGAAAAGCAGGGAAAACGGCAAACATAGCTATAAATAGCAAATGAGTGAGGAGAAACAGCAGTGGATGTGATTTGACAGAGGTGAGAAGAGTGACTACTGCCAGCACAGCAAACACATGAGGTAAAGCTGAGCAGCCTCTCCCGACCATGCATCTTCTCTCCCAGATGTAAATACTTTGACTGAATCTTGATTCTTAAAACCAGCTATGGAAATACTGCACTTGTTGTACACAGATTGGGTCAAAACAAATCAAGAGGAAATATTTCAAACTAGAGATGCTGGGTGGATGTCAAGGTGAGGGAAATGTTCCCCCTCAGAGATGTGCTTTATCCTCAGACACTCAGCAATAAACCTTGAGATACAAAAGAAACACAGTATTCCTTTAGACAGTTTTCTGTGGATGCCTTTCCTACTCACCCACTCCAACAGAGCAGGATGGGAAATTTAACAAGCAACGGGACAATGTGAGGAGACCACTTGGAACTTCAAAATTATCAAAGAGCAAATCCACAGGAGAGATGAAGATTTTACATGTGAAAATTCTTGTCCAGATAAGCCGCATTTGGGCTACACAGAGCGAGCTGTGTCTTAACCCAGAAGAAATTTCTAGTAATAATTGCTACAAACACAGTAATTACTGAGAAGAGAGAACACCAAAGACTTTGATTTGACCATGCCCAGGCAATGGTGAAAAAAAAAAAAGCTATTACAGTACTCTGAAGTCTTTACACAAGGTTTTGATCATTCCTAACACTTACATAGCACTTCTCAGCTTCAAAAGCTCTCTGCAAAACATTAATTATTGCTTTGACTAGAAAAGAACTCAATTATCAGAGTTAGAATGGAAGTATAAAGAATGTTATTAACACTGGGCTTAACATCCATTATCAATTCCCCTGATATTTCATGGTAAGCATTTCATATTACGTTTTCTTTTAAAGATCATCAAGTCTTCCAATGAAAGCTGAAATCTAGCATCTGACACCAAGTGAGTGAACAGTTGTTAGGATGACACTCAAGTTTACAAAACATTAATACATCCACTTTACATCATCAAATAAAAACACTTCTTTCAGTTGGTTCCTTCTGCCAAGGATTTCAAATATTAGTCTTATTTTCAGTTGGAAGAGAGGAAAATGACAAACCTGGCTTTTTCGGATGCGATGCTGGTGTTGGATGCATTTTAGCATCCCTAGAAAAACCATCTAGATTTCCTTTAATGGCTTCCAGTGCATCATCTCTGCTTTTTTCACCTGTCTGAAACGTTTTGGAAAAAAATAAAATAAAATCACAGCACAGTTCAGTTTCCTTCCAATACCCACACTTGTTCAGTACAAGACTTAGCACTGCCTACTGTTAGTTTAAACCCTTCTTTTTCCAGCAACACCTGAAGCTTATTAACAGTATCTCCCATATTTAGAAAGCTGTATTTTGCAGGCTACACAATAACAGCACCTTTCAGTCTTCCAACAGACACTTTATGTACAGAAATAGCACATAAACCTTGTTCAGTTATTTGTAGTCTTACAGAAAAGAGCCTCAGAGCTCACTGGAGCAGCCCGAAACTTTGGATAAAGTTAACAATCAAGCCACCAAACGTTCTCTTCTCTGGAAATCTCAGTCTGTTCCCAAATGCTACACTTCAGGTTTGTTTAAATTTATTTTACAAAAGTTGGTTTTCATTTACAGACTTTGTTTGCACTGCAACAAGAGTGTGCAAGTGACTGAATATTCCAGATGCTTTCCAAGATCTGATGTGTCCTGCAAGCTCCCCACTCACTTCCCAAAATAAAGCACTCCACTAAAAGCAGCTGAAAGCCTCGAGGAAACCAACGTGGCCCTTGCTGTTGAGGACCTACCTTAGGTTTCACACTGCTTAAAAGCCTCAGCTTTTGCTTCTGCTCTTCAAACTGGCGCCGTTTTCGTTCTTCTTCCAAAAACTTCTGCTGGTGCTCAAACCTCTTTCTGAAATGATTAAAAGAAACCAAACTATAACCGATTTTTCATTCAAGTTTCCACATCCAACTTCTGCTAGATTTTTTTCCATTTCTTTTGACTCAACTTCAGCTGGCTCGGTGCATACCTCCACTTTCCCTCAGAACTGTTTAACAGCCACTGTTAATTTTATAGGTTGCCCTCAAGTGCAATGAATTACCTCAGAACTGTTCCACAATACTAAATGAACTACTTTTCTAGAGAAACGATGGTTAATATTTCTGCTATGAGGACTGCACCTCCAGACCACGTCTCCCCCTTAAAATAAACAAGCCAACAAGCATAAATAAATAAGAACAATCCCCAGAGCAAATAAAGCATCACTTACTGCTGCTCCTCTGCAAACTGCTTCTGCATGTCAGGGCTGTACTGCGGGGCTGCCGGGCGCATCCCTATGAAAGAAGCCTGTCCCATGTAAGGCATTCCAGTCGCTGGCATTGGCCCTAAGGACATGCCACCCTAGAACAAAATTAATAATACAGCTTCAAGGTTTTTTTCCTCCAGAAACGAAGCCCAACCACTGACAATTACATCCTGCTAAATGACAAACCAGGTAGATCTCACAAAATTCAGAGCGTAACAACTGCTGTGACAAGCTGCTGCAGAACAAGGCAGCGGCCATTCAGTAGGTGGCACTCTTCCCTCTCGATGATGAGCTACAATTCTCAGGGGATTTTAGACAGCACGATGGCTTTCTGGGCAAATACAGAAAATGAAGACAAAATCGACACAATCTAGGTGAAACCATTACAGGCATCCTAACCTACATCACTAACAGATCCATGCACTTGGGTTTCCTTGTTTGTTTCATTTTTAATGCAGTTTCCTACTCTAAATGATTACAGAGAACTTCTAAACTCCATGCTGGGGGTGCATGCTCCTAACCAACAGCTGCTGCTGGCCAGACTGGCTCTGATCACTTCACAGAAAAAACTCATTTGGGCATCAAGGGGGCAGAGAATACAGAGCAACAGCACCAGGAGCCTCAGCCAAATGGACTGCATGAAATGAGGAATATTTGGTGATAGACATATCCTGGTGTGGTGGCAGTAGCAAAGCTTGCCTAATATAGGAGGAGCCAAAAATTAAATTACTTCTATTATCATTCATTTTGTTTTTGCTATCAGAACACACAGAAAGAGAACAAGTGCTACTATTTTTAGACTAGCACTCATAAAACCATCTTCCTGCTATAAATTTTAGGAAATTAATTTAATAATGTCCAGGTGGGGGTGGGAAGTGAGAGGAGAGCATAAGGAGATGGCAAGACATAATAAATTCAATTTGAGACAGCAATTCGGTTACAAAGCTTTGGCAATACATAAAATTTCAGCAAAATGCAAATCTGTACATAAGCACAGATGGTACTAAACAGAAAACAAGTGATTAAAAGCAGAGAAAATATAGCACTGGCTACTCATACTTTGTTCTTGTTCCTCAATTAGCAACAGTTCAGATAAAGACCAAGTTGCTTTAAGCAAGGAAAAACCAACAATGTTAGAGAGGAAGTAGAACAAATGGGAAAACTGCTCATGCGAGACAATGCAGCACATTTCTCTGGAATTGCTTTCTCCCTGCAACAAGGTTCTTAAGAAGAAAGTTTACCAATCACCACTTGCACTTGCATGCAGCTCTACTTCAGCATCTGAGTGACAAAGACACAAAGAACTCAGCGAATTGGTCACCACCACAGCATGTACCAGCTCACAAGGGGCTCATGAAATACTGCACAACATCCCACCTTAGCAGTAAGGATGTAGAACCAAAGCAAAAGCAGTGTCTCATTTCAAGCCACATCTCATCGGCACACACCTGCATGGCCATGGGTCCAGGAGGCATTTGAGAGCCATAATTCATGCCCATCATGCCTGGCATGTTGGACTGCATGACGGGAACCATTGGAAATCCTTGCTGTTGCATAGGAATCATCCCTGTAATAAAAGGTTCAACAGGATGAGCACTTTGTGTTAAAGCTTGTTTTTTTTGTAAATATTTGAACTAAACCACCACAGCAAAGTAAAGGAAGAACAAAGAAATCAGTCCCGCAGTGAAAAGCAGGCTGCAGGGCAGGCACTGCGGGATATCCTGAAGTTAGCTACTGGTCAGGCTAAGGGAAGAGATGATAGAGGCTTTCCCACAGCCAGGCAGATGAAGCCTCCCACCACCTGAAGGAATGGCTGTGGGTTTCTTCCCATACACTCTTCACAGGGTCAGTTCCAGCTAATGAGATTTAATTAACCGCGTTGACAGCTGCTGATAATTAATTGTCCATTACACTAGAAAGGGAAAACTTTAAAACTGGGAGCATTTCAAGATCAGCCTCGGGAAATAAATCCATGCAGCACTTTCACAGAGCGACTTCTCGTTCTGAGCTGGCTGGATAACTCGTACCCCGGTCAACGAGCCCAACACACAGAGTGGAATGGCTAGAAGTATTTGCCAGTCAAAGCCACATTTGAGTAGAATTTGACAAATCAAACTGAAATATAATTATTCACAGAACGAAGCCAAATCGATTACGCCTCAGGATCTTTGTGTTTTGCTCTCCTGGGAGTCAGACACCAAGAAGAAACTCACACTTGCTACCAGCACCCCATGAGAGAATTCTGACCGCCTGTGGCTGAACATCACGTGCAAAGGCACTCCAGGAGGGATGCAACAAGCTCAGAAATAAGCCATAAATCAGCTCACAACACATTTTATAAGAAAACTGTCACTTCTTCAAGTTCTCTCTGTATCTTTCATTAATTAAACAAACAGCGCTGCAACAGCAATGAGAACAAAGGTAATTTAAAACTGGGGCTCTCCTGTTGTCTGAGCACTTTCACACAGGTTGTGACTGCTGTCCCAAGGTCTTACAGAGCTTTGTAAATATTGACTGGGTACTGCAGAACCCACACAACACTGGTATGCACAGCTGGCAGAAGGAGCATAAAGAGGTTAAATGTCGTATTCAAAATAATTATAAAAATCTTAAAGGCAAATTCAGGGTCAGACACACCAGAAGTATCATCTTCCAGGGTCTCTAACCCAGCACTTTGCTTTATCAGCATTGCACAGAGCTTTAAAACAGCTGCATTGAACTGAAGGGGCCGACCAGCTCAGGAGTTCACCTAATCACGCTGGGAGCAGCAGCGCTGAACAGAGATCACTTGGAGTTGGTTGCCATCTCCAAAGGTAACAAACTTAGTGCTCAGAGCATTACATCCATACATACCTTGAGGGGGGCCCAAAGCGCCTGCCACAGGGAACATGAAGCTAGAAGAGGAGGGAGAAAAGGGAACGTGAACATCAGTGGATGAAAGCAGTCTCTGAAGTGCACCAGCCACAGTCCTCACACCGCAGTCGGCACCTCCACCTGCTGCTGTGCATTTCAGAGGAGACATCAGCAACGTTACACACAGCCCAAAACTTCACAGCTCACTCTGCAGAGCTATGAAGGAACAGACCTCAGCCTCCGTAACAGCACGAAAATGGCTTTGATTCATCCACATCACCCACAGGAGAACTTCCAGCACCTGCACAGGTCGGTGACAGGTCAGTCTGTGAGCTCGGGCTGGGCCTTCGAGCACTGCAGAATGAATAAGCATCTCCTGCCAGAAGCATCTGATTCAGCAAGACCATGAAACGCACCAGAAAACGGTCCTCAGTTCCTTGGTAACTGTTTTCAACAGGGAATAAACTGACCGTCAGACCCCACTGCCTTCCCCTCTCCCCCTAGAAATGGTATGCATCACAAAATAATGCCGTGGCTGGTTTCTTAGTTACATCTCAGTTCAAGAAAAACTGTTGGTTCGCAAAAAAACTATTCATCAAGTAAAAAACACCAGGTACACCTGGAGGAGGAACTGCTGAAAATTCAACCAAAATTCTAATGGAAATGCTATAGCGGGCTGTGCTGCCAAACAGGACAAAAGCCCTCGTTGGGAAGCCTCACTCACAATAAAATCACCTGAGCAGTAAGTCACAAAATAAGAACTTGAATCGGTGCCCCAGCCAGCTGTTCCCTCAAAATGCCACACAAAGACAAACACGCTCACAGACGTTCAACACAAAGGTGGACCTAAAACCACCTGGGAGTGAAGGAGCAGACACTACAGCTGACTGCAGGCAGTTCTGCACACCCTGCAGGAAGTCACAAAGCCAACCTCATTTATACTTCTAGAAGAACTGAGCAAAATAAATTCTAAGACAAAATAAAGAATCTGGTTGATGGATAAACACAAAATTTAATTGCAGCCAGTTGCTGTACAGACTGCAGGTAACACAGTCACCAGCACAACCCACAGCACTCCTCAGTTCAGTCTCTAACTTGGAATCTTCTCAATGTTTCGGCTTCTTCTTTTCACCTATGGAAACAGCTGATTATCTCCAGGCTGTCAGCACCGAGTGCCACCTCAGCCACAGATCCTCTGAAGCCACATGTAATTTCAGCTCCTGCACACAAAGCAGTTCTGTGCATCTTAAAAATACACCACTCCGCATTTCTTTCGAATTATAAAATATTTAAAGTTCATTCTGAAAAGCTCACAAGTACCAAAAAGCGTTCATAGCTTTATGTTGCACTTTCTTGTCAGGGAATCTGGTCAAAAAGCGTTCTTCCAAATTAGCAAACGTAATGTAACCTGAACAAGAGTAGCAAGGTACCACTGCCTGTTGGAAGCAAATAAAGGACAGGCAATAAAATATTTATCCCTTCCTACTGAGCTCCTGATTTATTTATAGGTCTCAGTGAAAGATGAATAAATAAACAAACCCTGGAACTAATGAGAGGGCACTGGAAGAGAAAGCCACACCAAAGTGGCAAAGCAAGCTCCTAGCACAGCTCTCCTCATGGTTCTGCTGTGCCACTGCTGGGAGCTGCCACCAGCACGGACGCTCAATCCTCATCATCATTTCTAAAGGCAAAAACCAGAAGCCTTATTTCCACACTGCTTTCCAGGGACACAGAAGGTATGGTCACAGCCAGCTAAAGCAGCTGATCCGCAATGCTGAAATTAAGCTCTCAGCCACTGCTGAGATAACGTGGAAGCAGGACAGAAAACCACAAAACCTGACAAAACATGCTGATAGAAACAACACCAGGAGCAGCTTTATTTAAAAAAAAAAAAAAAGACATTTTAAGTCCAGGTACCTCAAAATAATAGAACTGATCATAAGAATAAGCAGGTAACAACAGGACTGCCTTTAAAAAACAAAATGAAATGGGCACAATGAAGTACATCTGTAAAAGCCAATATGCTTCTCGAAAGCCAGAAGAGTGTTTATTCCAGCTAGTTGGCGGCAAACTCCAAAGTTCCCAAACACACTTTCCTGAGAATGGAATCCCTCACAATCTTGATTATTTAGGGCAGCTGACTACCACCAAACGTGCCATTTCAATGGGATTTCTTATTCCTCATTACTTCCATAAAAGATTTAAAAGCAGCTGCAGGATTTCTGTTGTTCTCAATGTCAGATGCCCCCCCACCAGCTGGGCTGATGCAACTAGATGCAATACTTGATGTAATACAGTAAGAAAACGTTACATGTCTCATAGCCTGCACCAGACAGAGTAAATATAAGGAAAGCAAAGCAATTACCCTACAGCACTGTTGTGAGACTTCTGTTAATCTGTGTGCTCCTATCGGATAAGTACCTTAAATGGGAAGCTTCAAAACTGAAAGTCAGCCTCGATCAAACCACAGGAGCAACTCCTTTGCTGTATCTGTGCGTTCCATCTGCACGCAATGCACTCCTAACCACAAGCAGATTTTTGACCCCCCAGTTCCCAATGAGCAAAGCCTCATTCCACCAACACGCTACGGGATACGCCGGAGTATATTTCAGTGGCAAATTTCAACAAAGAAATCCACAGAAACGAACCCCCGGCGCAGAACGTGAATCGCTGCCGCCGGATTCGCTCTCAAAGCATCCAAACGCCGATGGGAAACAAACAAAGGCTCTGCGACGAGCGCACCGTCGTGGCCTTCAGCTGACTGACAAACGAACGTCCGCTCCTCGCAGGCAGCGCTGCTCTGAGGCCGCCGTTTCGCAGCCGTGCCGGGTTTATGGAGCGACGCGCTGCACAACCGGCCCTCGGACCTCGAAGGAGCAACTGAGCCACCCGCCCCGAGAGCGGAGCTCCGGAAATACCAGAGCCCGGCTTAAACGAAAGCATCGCTGCTTTCACCCGACCCCGTTCCTCCACCTCACACCGTGCCCGCAGCGCCGGTGAACCAGCACAGCTGTCCCTGCCGGCACCCAGCGGGGCTGCGGGCCCTGCAGGAACCCGCAGAGAGAGACGTTCGGAAGGCAGCGACAGGCGGGCGGCTCGCACCGAGGCAGCAGGCCAGAGAGCCCGGCACGGCGGCACAGGGGCACGGCGGCACAGCGGGCCGCCCGCGGGCCCCGACCCCCGCCTCCCCCGCAGCCCTTCAGCCCCGCGCCCAAGCCCGACGGCCCCGGCCCCCCGCTGCCCTCGGACCCCGCCCCGCTCCGCTGCACCGACCCGGCTGCCCCCGCGCCTCCCGCCGCTCCAGCTCCGCCGGCGCCCGCCGCTCCACCGCCCGCCGCGCCGGGCCCGGCCCGCAGCGCCATCTTCCCGCTCCGGCCCGGCGGTCAGCTGAGCCGCCGCGCTTCCGGGGCCGGGCCCGACTGCGGCCCGCCTCAGCACCGCCCCTCGTCCCGCGTGCAGCCCGGCCCCGGGCGGCGGGAAGAGGAGGAGCCCCTCAGAGAGGGCGGGAGGAACGGAGCCGCGATCTACGCCCAAAGGAGGCAGTGCGAGCAACAGAGCGCGCGCTCCTCAGCGACCGCAGAAACGGACACGGCTCCCCCAGAAGCCTTTACGACCTTATTTATTCTGCTGCGGGGCTCAAACGACACGAAACTACAGAGACTGAGAAGCACTTAAAAGATCCATTATCCCAAAGGCAGAAGGAAGGTTGCACTTCCCCTATTCGTTGTTTTGCATTGCTAGAAAAACGCGTCCAGGGAAGCATCTCCCAGCTGCAGTTCCCCGGCCTGGCAGCACCCCTCCCCTCTCCTTCCCCCCACAACCCGCATTTTCTGCGAGTCTGAGAAGTGTTTTAGGAACACTGAACTGACAGCAGTTCCAAGCAGTAATATAAAAGTGACAGTAACACAGTCTTTTGAACAATTGTTCAGTAATATGAAGTGTTCAGTAGCATTCACTGCAAGAGCACAGTTTGCAGCTCCTATAAGAAGCATTCAGGAGTCCTCATATTTAGGTAGGGACTTTTGTGCATGTAAACATCCCACCTCACGCAGAAGGAAAGAGGAAGAAATACTCTTCTTCCTTCCCCTTCACCACCATCTTCATTCTTCCATTCTTCAGCATGGCCACAGGTGTCACTCCCAGCCCAAGAGCCATCTGCCACAGTTCAGCTTTCTGAAGCAGTCTTCAAATTACTGTTATTTGTAACTTCCTTAACTTTCTTCTTTTCCTTAACATTTTCCTTTGCAGTTCTCCTACAAAAAAGACCAAGGCAGCTGAGCACTGCATATTAAAAATAAAGTACATAGAAATACAATCGACATCAGACATTTTGCATTAAGGTAGAGCAACTGAACTTAAATCCTTCAGTAGGAAGCATCTGAAGATAAAACAATGACAATCTACCATACAAAATTGCCAGCCTTATTTTGTGAGCTCTAGCCATTGCAATTTAAGTTTTATTTCTTGTATTAATGCTTGCCTACCCTGCCTGTGGCAGGGAGATTGGAACTTGATCAGTGAGGCCCCCTCCAGCCCCAGCCATTACACGAGTCATAGGACAGAAACAAAGCAAGCTCTTTACCAGAAGAGGAGCGGGTTCTGGAATTCTGCTAGGACAGCTTTACAGCCTGTTACAGAGCTACCTGTAATGCTGTCTTCTCACATGCAGCCATGTAGGGTGAACTCGTGGCATTAACCCAATTTCCAGTAGCAGATTCTGACACTGAAACTGCACTGTCACTACATTACAAGCGCTGTGACCTGGTGTGTCCCAGTGAGATGTTGGTTAGAGTGGAGGAAACTTGGTGGGCCTTTTCTGGACAAAGGACATTTTGAAATTAAAGAAAAAGCAAGAATAAAAAAAAAACCACAAACCCTCCACACACGCACACTCTTACTTTTTTCTTCTGTCTTTTTTTAAGAAGCACTGAGGAGTGGTACAAATTGCTTCTCTCGTTAGTGGTTTCTTAATGAATTTCTTCTTCTGTTTGCTGAGAATGACATTTAGTAAAGGATTAACTGATTTTAAAGGATAAAAATTAATATTCAAAATAAATAAAACTGACAACGAAAACCTGCACTAGTTTGTAAGGTACTGTTGGTCTGAATGTATTTTCAGCATTTATTCCAGAGTCAGTTCAGCTATATTATCTCCATGGCATTCAAAATACTTCATTTTAATACTTATGGTTAATACACACACACACAATTTGAAATTAATTTTGAAAGCTATTAAAAATTATCAGTCAAAATAAAGCATTAAGAAATACTCTTTACCAGCCTATCCAACACCCACACACCATTTTAAGGTAACTTACACACCATTTTAAGGTCATGTACTGGAAGTGATTCATGAGTGCAGGCCTGGGAAGCCTGGGGCATGTTTCAGGGAACTCCCTGTGCTCCAGGAACTAACTGCTTCTCTATATTAGAGAATTCTTTATGTTTCCATTTTTTTGTCTGGGTGGAAAAACAGGCCATCACAGCTCTGTCAAAGACTCCTTTTGCAGCTGAACTGCAACAGTAACTTCTGCAACCCCCACACCCCCAACCAGCCCTCATGCAGGATGTAAAAATGGAAGACAAACAGGTAATGTATTCAAATGAACATACCTTTGGAGTTTGGGAAAGTGCTTTATGTAGTCTGGCACAGGACAGCCAGCTCGCTGGATAACACTGGCTATGCTGAAAGGGAGAGGAGGGAAGAGATTAACTCTGGCAGTGACTGTAGGGAAACGAGAAGAGCAAAACCAGCTGAACAGACTCGAATCTTCCCCCTCAGAAGGGTTCAAGTCAGAATACCAGGTTTCACTCAAAAACACAATGAAGTACGCCTTGCACTGCCATTGTTCACAGCGCAACGATGTAGCAAAGAGTGCCGGTTAGTGAAAAGCTTCAAACCAAAACCTTAAAATCGAGATGTTCCAGGCTTTCCCTTACTGTTAACACCTTACAGCTTCCATGTGAGTTCTGAATTCTTGAAGAGCATTCTATATTAAGGTGAGTTTCGCAGGGCTCAGCAGCACCATGCTCACAGGGTGTGTGGCATTAGAAAGGACCACACAGCTCAGCAGGACACCATAGCAAAAATATGCTTTATTCTTTGTGTAACATGCTTGAAATTTACCTTCGTAATAAAGGCTTATCATCTTCTGTAAAGAAAGTGACTGCTTTCCCTGTGTGTCCTGCTCTTCCAGTACGACCTGTCAAAACACAAATTGAACAGAGCACAGGTCTTCAAATATCTTTGTTCTACTCCTCTTCATAGCCCAGGCCTCCCAAAGTACATTAACACACTAAGCACACGACCACAGCTGATCCCAAAAGGTCATTTCTACTGCATGAAAACAACAACTATACTTGAAAGGTCTAAATGTTCAAAGACCATAGAAGCCTGACAAAAAGTAACTCTTTTTTACTGAGAGTTGAGATGAGGTATGAATCGACTCAAATGAGTCAATGCTGTAGCAACAGAGGAGTCTTGCTGTCAGGATTTTCACATATGCATAAGAGTTTCTCCATTAAAGATCCGCAAACTATGGAAAAGGACGTATTGTGCAAACAATACTCACCTATTCTGTGGATGTATTCCACTGCACTTGTTGGCAAATCGTAATTAATGACCATATTAACTCCTTTGAAATCAATCCCTCGAGCTAGTAAAGCTGTGCAAATGAGCACCCAGATCTTCCCAGCTCTGAAACTGTGCACTACATTATCTCTCTAGAAAAAAAAAAAGAAAGGTACTTGGAAACATCTTGACCAGCAGTTTGATGCAAACTTGTTTCCTGAAAATTGTCATGTTAATAAAAAACTAAATCTCTAAACCAAAACATGCAGATAATTACTGTTAAACTTACCTGAAGTAACATTTTAAAAAGGAACTACCAAGTACTGTAAAGCATGTTGGGGAAAGAAATTATAACCTCCTACCTGCTGTTGAGTTTTGTCTGCATGGATGACATCTACGTTGATGCCTTCATAAATAAGCTCATGGAAAAGCTCTTTAGCCCTCTCAATAGACTGTACAAAAACAAGGACTGGGGGAGCAAAACCCTGCAAAACAGAAAGCTTCTATAAGGTTCAAGCCCTTTTCCTACTGTTGCAGGCTGCAGACTCTGCTGCTACCAACTTAAATGAACCCCATATTTACATCTTAGAGGATTATCTTTTCTTAACTAGCAAAAATCTTTGGGACATAAGCAAATTCAACTCCACTACCTTCAAAGGAATTACTCTTCACTTAATCGTCAGGCTGTAATTTAATCCACAAAAACAATTTTTTCCCCACTCAATATGAACAACCCCTTTCACACTGCCTACTACAATTAACTGCACCATTAATGCAGACCACTCCCAAGCAGGGCTCAAATATGTAACTAACACTGGAAAATCCTTTAAAATTTCACAGGGAAAGTAACATTCCTCTTGTACAGGAGATCTGGACAATGCTTTAACCCAGAGAAACCTCTGAGAGATAGAATACACGGCTCAGTTCAGAAGCAGGATGTGCTCAATCACTCCAAAATACCTTTTTAACAAGCTCTCTCATTGCTGTCAGTTTTCCTGTCTCTGATCCAACAAACAACAGCTCTTGTTCCACCGTCTCTGCTGCAGAGTTTCTGAAATCAGAAATGCAATAAATACATATAAATCTTACGTGGTGGGTGAGAAGCACTGCAAGACAAACTGTCATCAGTACATCCTCCAAGGGGGTAATGCTCATTTGACAATGAAGTAACAGGCAAAGGAAAAAAGAGAGAATCAGAGCGTGACTGCACACCTACCTTGCACCAACAGTCACCAGAACAATACTGTCAAGGTTGAGTTTACACCACTCCTCCACATCACGTGCAAAGGTTGCGCTGAAAAAGGCTCTTCTCACCACATGGGACGTGCATGCCAGGAAGATGGAGGCCAATTGCTCTCGGAATCCTGACTTTCCATCTTCAAACAGTTTGTCTGACTCATCCACCACCAGCCACTCCACGCTAGGAACAAAGAAGTTTTCTTCTCAGTAAGAGTCATTTGCACAGAAGCCAGAAGGCCTAAGGAACCTTACAGACACAAGGACCATACACACATCCGCTTCCCAGTAGCAGAGCTGACAGCAAAACCATATTTGATATAGTACCTGGTCAAGTCTATTGCTGGAGGATCTTGTTTCAGTAAATAGATGAGTCTGTTTGGAGTAGTAACTAATATATCTATTAAAAAAACAAAACAAGACAAACAGCAGAATGTTAGAACAGACAAAACAGACTTTAGCAGAGCACTGAGCAGAGCATTAAGAAACATGTTCCTACCCAATCAGACAGAGATTTGTTGGTTTGGGCTCAGGACAAGGCACTTCACTGTTGCAATTCATTTAGGGTAA